AAATGACAAGCTTGCATCAGTTGTTTGAAAGAATCAGGAGAATAGTAGAAATAGACGAAACAGTCGTTAAAAAACGCAAATTCAATAGAGGAAGAAGTGCTAGAGAAGACCGTGTGTGTAGAACTTCCTCAAATATACTAAATAGACCCCTAATATGCGTGATAGATCATCTCAAAGGAGGCACTTCAAACTCATGAGAAACCAGTAATCCACAAATATGGTATTAACCACACGAGTGTACGTGCTGTCGGGCAACACAATACACACGGATGACGGGAGAGCAGGTCGTTGTCTATCTAGACTTGGTTACGTGCATCGTATCGTCGTTCACAAGTGACGATTTGCAGACGCAACCAAAATATACTATTGAATAAAGCCATCAATAAGAAATCCGAAACAGACACCAAAAAGACAGAAGCAATACGTTGAGGCTGAAAGAATGTTTGTTACCTTACCATGGCCCCAGAATTCGACTTTTGGGGAGTCACATGGACATGTCCCTGTGTTGTGGGTTTAATGGAGTGTCCAGTATGCAACACGTGTTAGAAAATCTGGGAAGAGCAATAGCTAGAAGAAGTGAACCTACGACAGGCATTTACTAGCGGAAACACTCAATCATAATAAATAATAACACGGGATTAGGATAAGGAAAATCTGACAACCGAAACTAGCTCACAGAATGAAAATTTGAAGGGATTAAGTAGTCAGTAGACATGATACATAATATCTTACGTATGAAATAATCGACAGCAAGGTTCGAATCTTTAGAGAATTCAGGTCGAATGATATCCAAATGATATCGAAAAAGCATGATATGAGCTAATTGCAGAGACGAGCGATTCTTAAAATCACCTTAATTCTAGCTCGTTTTCGATGGTTAACAAACAGCCATCAAAAATGAGTTGTTAGTGAAAAATAGCAATCACAAAAAGATTTTGTGAATAAGATTTTACAAAGTTCAGTGACAGGCCATATGGGTGAACCATATTCGCCGAATCCTCTCGACGACATGAATTTCGAGCTAATGTCGGAAACATTACGCTCGTGAAAGCTTACTTACTTACGCATATTACTCCTCGTGAAGGAGCATAGGCCGCTCACCAGCATTCGCCATCCAAACCTGTCCTGGGCAATCCTTTCCAGCTCTTTCCAGTTGTTATTCATCCTTTCCATATCTGCCTTTATTTCCGACGTAATGTGTTTTTTGGCCTTTCTGTTTTCCTCCTTCCTTTAGGATTCCAAGTTAGGGCTTGTCTCGTGATGCAGTTTGACGATTTGCGTAGTGTATGTATTATCCATTTCCATCGTCTTTTCCTAATTTCCTCTTCAGTTCGAAGCTGGGTTGTTCTTCCCCACAGAAGGCTGTCGCTGATGGTATCCGGCCAATGGATGTCGAGTATCTTGCATAGACAACTATTTATAAATACTTGTACATTCTTGATGTTGTTTGTGGTAGTTTTCCAAGTTTCAGCTCCGAATAGTAGAACTGCCTTGACGTTCGCATTGACGATTCTGACTTTGATATTGGTTGAAAGTTGTTTTCAGTTCTATATGTTCTTCAATTGAAGGAGTGCGGCCCTTGCTTTGCCAATCCTCACCTTTACGACTGCATCTGATCCTTCTTGTTCATTGATGATGCTTCCCAGGTATGTGGATGATTCCACATTTTCCAGAGTTCCACCATCAAGAGTGATTAAGTTGGTGTTCTCCGTGTTGTATTTGAGAACTTTGGTTTTTCCCTTGTGTATTTTGAGGCCTACTGATGCAGAGATTGCTACTACACCGTCTGTTTTTATCTGCATTCGTTCATGTGTATGCGATAGGAGGACTAGGTCATCTGCAAAGTCCGAATCGTTTAACTGGTTCTGAGCTGTCCATTGTATGCCAGGTTTTCCCTCAAATGTCGAGGTCTTCATAATCCAGTCGATCACCAGAAGGAAGAGGAAAGGCGAAAGCAACCAGTCCTGTCTGACTCCGGTCCTTACTTGGAATGCATCTGTCAGCTGTCCTCCATGCACTAGTTTGCACTGCAGTCCGTCGTATGAGTTCCGGACGATGTTGACAATCTTCTCATGAGCTCCATAGTGTCGACGACGTTTCCATAACGTTCTCCTATCTACACTGTTAAACGCCTTTTCATAATCTATGAAGTTGATGTGTAGTGACGAATTCCACTCAATCAATTGTTCGACGATGATCCGTGGTGTCGCAATTTGATCTGTGCACGATCGATCCTTACGGAATCCAACTTGTTGATCTCGACGTTGGGCATCTACTGTATATTTCATCCGGTTCAGCAACACTCTGTTAAAGACTTTCCCTGGTATTGACAGTAGTGTAATGACTCTGTAGTTTTCACGTTTGCTCAAATCTCCTTTCTTTGGAGTCTTGAAGAGGTGTCTTTCTTTCTAGTTCATTGAAACTTGTTTCTCCTCCCAAATCTTTTTGAATAAAAGGTGAAGCATGATTGTAGTTACTTCGATGTCTGACTTCAGTACTTCAGCTGGTAAATTGTCGGGTCCTGCTGCTTTCCCGTTCTTGATTTGTTCGATGGCCATTCTGATTTCTTCCTTCGTTGGTGAATTGACATCCATAGGAAGATCTGTGTGTGCTGCTTCGATGTCCAGTGGATTCATTGGAGCCAGTCTATTCAGAAGTTCCTCAAAGTATTCTACACATCTGTTACTCTATCTTTGAATTTCGGTGATTGGCTTGCTTTCTTTGTCTTTGACCGGCCTCTCTGGTTTACTGTATTTCCCTGATAGTTTCTTCGTTGTATCGTAAAGCTGTTTCATATTTCCTTCTCTAGCAGCTTTTTCTGCCGTCGTTGCTAGTTCTTCCACGTATTTCTTCTTGTCGGCTCTAATGCTCCTCTTCACTTGTTCGTTTGCTTCTATGTATTCAGCTTGTGCTTGGACTTTCTCTGCTCGTGTTCGGCTGTTGTTTATTGCTGTCTTCTTGTTCTTCCTTTCTTTGATGCTGTCCAGTGTTTCTGTAGAGATCCATTCCTTATGACGGTATTTCTTTAGACCCAGAACCTCTTGACACGTTGAAGTTAATGCTTCCTTGATGCCTTTCCAGTTGTCCTCCATAGTAGTTTCTTCTTCTTTCAGTAGATCTCGTAAGGCTTGGAACCTGTTGTTGAGAGCTATCTTGAATTCATTGAGTTTGACAGTATCTCGAAGGAAGGCTGTATTGAACCTTTGTATTGCTGTTTATCCAGTTGTCCAGTTCTTCTTTAGCTTCAGTTTTAAATTGGCTACAACTAGGTGGTGATCTGAAGCTACGTCAGCACCTCTCCTGGTTCTCACATCTTCCATTGTCCTTCGGAATTTTTTGTTGATGCAAATATGATCTATTTGGTTCTCTGTAGTGTGGTCCGGTGAGATCCATGTAGCCTTGTGTATACGCTTGTGTGGAAATATTGTGCCTCCTATGACCAATTTGTTGAATGCACATAGATTTGCAAATCTTTCTCCATTTTCGTTTCTTTCTCCCAGTCCATGTCGTCCCATAATATCTTCATATCCAGTGTTGTCTATCCCGACTTTGGCATTTGGATCTCCCATCAGAATGGTGAGGTCCTTTCTTGGGCATTTCTCAATGATTGACTGCAGCCGCTCGTAGAATTGATCTTTAATGTCGTCGTTGCTATCATTGGTGGGTGCATAGCATTGGATAATGTTCATTATGATCTCCTCCTTCTTTGTTTCGAATTATGTTTTGATGATTCTGGATCCGTGAGATTCCCATTCTACAAGTGCATCTCGTACTTCTTTGGACAGCATTAGAGCAACTTCCCGAATATTTGTAGCATTTTCGTATTCGTGAATGGAGCACAGCAGCATCTCTCCCCTATCTAGCTTTTGTTGTCCAGCTTGGGTCCAGTGGGTTTCACTTATTCCGAGAATCGTCAAATTGTATCTCCTCATTTCAGTTGCTATTAGACTGGTCTTCCCGGTCTCCCACATTGCCCGGACGTTCCATGTAACTATCAAAATAAATGCTGGGGTTGTTAGAAGAGGAATCGGCCTCGTGACTTCCGAAGGAACTCGGCTTTCGACATGAGTCGTCATAGTTCAACCATCCTCCTTTACCTAAGCTTGGGACCGGCAGTAACTCTAGAAGAGTTACAGGCGGAGTTGCTCGTGAAAGACTTATTCAAAGAACTATCTCTCCACTTTTAACGAGTAGAAAAACTTGAGCATACTATTAGAAAGTATGGAATTAAACGGCAATATCGACAACTGCGAATTGTGCAAAGACTTTAGTTTTTCAGAAAAATATGGGGTTTTTAAAAAATCAAGTGGGACAACTTTTGGTTGAATTTCAGTATGTCACAGGTATTCGGAGTTTGACAACGCCTTTACATGTAAAGCTTTTATAATCGGAAGATTGCAACCCAGTCAAACCAGAATCCAGGAATGAAGGGGTTCGAAGATATACTCGGAAACCTATCGGAATGTCAGGAAGCGTTTGCTGTAAGCTGAATAGTAGTTGCAAGGGATGCATACCCAAAGATGTTCTGGTGTGAATGCTTAACTGAGAGCCTCTAAATAGGAATGTATCCAGTAACGGTAACGAGTCCAGGATCAGTGTCACACAGCTAGAAAACTGTTTATTTTTTGGATCTATTTTCCGCTACAAAATGATAGATATGAAGGCAACTAATCAAGTAAAGGTGTTAGGTGACGACACATTTTCTGCATGACTAACATGACCAGGCGACAGGCGAACTAAAGCTTTCCTGATAAACCTGCAAAATCCAGTCCGCTGAAACGAACGATACTGAACCCAATTGTTGGATCTCAAGGAAAATCAGTCTTCGCAGTCTCATTATGGACGATTAAACGATACTTTCAGTATTATTCTCATATGTAAATACATATACCTTTAAGAATTTCACTTGGACATGTGCTGGATAACAAAACAGTTGTTTTCATGAAAATTTCTGATTTATTGGGTTTGGATTACATTGGAGTACATTGGACACTTTTGATGATAAGAATTTGTATTGGGGCGTAACAGTGTGATTATCACATGAGTCGTTTCTTGCGGCTCCATCGCACTTGTTTCTCCTTTAGTTTTGTGGTTCCTTAGTATCAGGCCAGTAAAAAGACGTATAAATCGACTTTCGAATGCCTGCACCGATCGAAAACACCGAAGATTGGACTCCGGAAGATCAACGTCAAAAAATTAGTGAACTTGACGATAATGTGGTGGTATGTTTCTTTATTTCTTTGTGTTTACAAATCAAGGATGTTACAGGTTATTCGATATCATATGTACGAACCATCTTTACGTACATTGGCATCATTTTCACCTGTGGACTGCTGAGACTTGTCTTTCACTGGTTCCCTCATTGGATGCTAATATGCATGAATAAGGAATGTGCTTTAATAAAAGCCGAGAAGATACTTGTCAAAGTAATTGTTTGTCCCCGTTTTTTAGGCTTCATGAGCCTAGGATAAAATACAAACTACGTATTAAATTTCTCTTGCAGGATGTCCACGGTGTTCGCTACATACATGACGTGGTTGTTGAAATAACTGGAACAGCAGGGTAAGGATAACATAGCCTTTCTCATTCATTTTAGCAGTTGTGCTAAACCCTCTTGCGTTCGAAAAACTGCCTCGTTCATGCTGTCGCAAGTGTCATGTTCTGAAAAAGTTAGTAAATATTTGTAATAATTCTATTATTTAGGAGGGCAAGATGATGTGTTACTTCGTTCATAAATGTGTAAGGTATGTATGGGACAGCAAGACTAATCGCTTTGAGCTTCCAAGGTGAGATTTATGCCCATCTTTTAATGTTTATTTATGACAATAAATTTTGGTTGTCGATTTATTTTTATGATAAGATGTTTAGTTATTTTGACTCCTTCCAAATTCTACTTTTGTAATTTCTCTGGTTCTTTACACTTATGAGACTGTCAATAAGGTGTGTAGACGTCATATAATACTAAGTAGAGGTATTGTTGAGTATACATTATGTACTTATCCTTATTGTTATTATTTTATTTGAACGCATAAATATTGGTACGAAGGGCCACCAAATACATATGGGCCACACAAATCTCTTGATTTTTGAGTGGGCTGTGATACTGCCAAGGTGCCCAGACCGAAGCAGGTGGTTTTCTAAGGGAGGCTACACCCGAAGTTCTCGACCTAAATGTTCGACCCACAAGATAGTGGAGCAACGTAAGAAAATGCACTTAAATGGTTATCAGTGATCAACAATTGATCCATACGCTACTTGTTTCTTCATGATCCTGGAGCCCATGTCAACGATTGGCTTGAAATCAGGGTATTCCAATTCCCCTAGGTTGAACCTCCATGTCTAAAACCAGGCTATAGCGCAGGACATTCGCTTTTCACCCTCTCGATTACATAAATGACCACCCCGCCACGAGGAGGCAGTGAATAGGACTCCTCCGGCAGTGGTTGTAAGCACGTAGCCATGTGAGGGCGTTTCGAGAAGAGCGGACTTTCCCCACTGTCGGCCGTATCAAGGCATTTGAGGGCATTCTCATTCAAACAGAATATGGATTGGGAGCTTTCTAGTTAGAAAACGATAAATATAATTATTGTTTCGCTATTTTAGATTCTTGTTAACACTTGTCTGAATAGTTACCGTGTTTTGAATTCTCTATCTGATCACTTCCGGTGCATATCAAGAGATCTTTATCAGTATAACATTTTTCTCACCAGGAACAACTTGTTTTGTAAATGATATTTGACTGGTTCAAATGTCAATGGACTTAACCATGTTAATAGGTACAGACTGGTGATTAAGTATCCTTCCACAACATGGGTGACTGGGTATTATGAATCACGCACTCAAATTCATCTTAATTACTGCCAACCCACATCCTTTTTCAAATTCTGTTTTCTTCATACTGTCAATCCTTTATATTCAGCTCAATTTTCTCCCATATCAATAATGATTCAAGCTTACAAAGCGTTATTCCTTTTAAAGCTTCACTTCAAACTGCATGTTAAAATTCGATTTCCAAATCATGTGTCTAATAATACGACAGACATCAGTATTTATACTTATGATGCTCTTCAGCTAATTAGTGAATATGCATGAAGATAAGTGGAAAAGTTTGAATTTAGTGTAGAAGGCACGTGTACGTAACCAGTAGTTGATTGTAGGTGTCTTTCAGGTATTGTTTGTATATGGTAGAACGTTAACTGGAAAACGCTTACGTTAAACGTAGAGGAATTGGTAGAGCTAGTAAAATGGCTTAGGCTGTGAATATTCACGAGTTATTTATTTAGGAGACGGTTTACGTGTTCCCAGCAATTGCCTACCTCGCTGTACATTACTGACTGGTAAAGCGGTGGTTTCAAACAAGGCTTAGGGTCACCCAAAGAAAATACGACATTGATCTGGGTCGTTTCAGGAGTTTTAGTCTTCTAGTTATGGATCCATGCGAAAACAGTAATCTGTGGTTGAAGAGCAATTGGTTAAAATTCTCAATTGAATATACATTCTTTCTCTATCTTGGTAGGGATACCTCAAGTTACCTGGTTTTTATCAGTAAATGTCAAATTCTTTCATGTTACGGTAACCTCAAGGGAATTTCCTCTAATTTTTACTTCTACACGATCATTGCTGTTCTTTGACTAATCACTACCACTCTAAGTCTACTTATTTTCCTGTGTCTGAGGGCCATGTCTTGTTGTTATATTCACCACTGTTAGGTCCCGATAAACATAATGAATGGTAATTTTAGAATCCTTTTATGGACCAATACTAAACGTTTATTTTTATCGTATAATTGTTAAATAAATGAACTATTGATATTCATGTTCCTCTTATTATAAGCTTTATTTTGACCTATGAACCATTATTATACGTTTTACCACTCTTGAATTATGCCCTATCTATTAGTCACTGCCTCACACATTCACAGCCACATTTGGCCAAACTTTGTACAAATGTTATTTTCTATCTTATGCTACGTTGTGGTCTGTTTGATTGGTATATGAACTCAGTATGTTTGAAATATAATGATTCATATTGCAGAGGCTGAGACTGGTGTTCTGGACTTAACTGGCTGGGCTAGGCGGAAAGCAGGACCAATCAGGACTCTAGGCTGCTCGCACGTGTTTTTCGCGTCCTTGGTTCGACTGATAATTCGCTGCCTCTGATTGGCAGATTCGGGCCGTGACAATCACACAGTTCCAATTTAAATTAGAATTCGTTAAATACCAGGCATTTTCTCCACTCATGTGTTCTTTCTAGGTTTCCTCGTTTGAGGATAATTATCGAGGCGTTATCGGTCGTACTGTCAAGTTCTCATTAGTTCCCGTTCATACTAGAATAGTCTATCGTTCGTACTTGGAAATTTCCGTAGGCCCGATTGTAAACAGAAGCATCTTCATCTACATGTCTTAGATAAAATAATACAAACTGACTCATTCACTAGGTATTTGGATATGGGGCACATTCTAGATGGGAGGACTAATGATACTATCCGGTTAACAAAACCTTAAGTAAATGTGAATTGTGGCATCCTAAATCGATGCACATGTAAGGTAGTTCCTATGTCTTTTTAGTTTATTTACCTTCCAGTTTCTCAATTTTAAATAGTGAACATTTCTTAGTGAAATGTTTACTTCCTACATGAGCTTTTGGAAAATATCGTCACTGGGTCTTAACCAAGTACTCCTTGTGGTTTCATTTCAGAAGATACTTCACTGCCTAGTATTAGCCCACTTACTCATTTTATCATAGAATTTTCTGTCACGTGTTAAACATTATGGCAGTTGTTGACAACTCCTTACACTTCGTTTTGAACAGTTACAATTGTGCACAAGGAAGAAATTTAGTCCCTGGAAATTTAACTTTTAAATTCGACTTACCTCTGTTAACTCTTCATAGGTACTGACATAGAAAGAAGCTAGTAGGGATATTCTAATATATAAACACTGTAGAAGTTTTCAAAGTATTTTCTGCTATATTGGGTTTATTAGGTGCAATGGAACTTGAAAAGAATATTTTGTTTCTTTCGAATTTTAGGAGCTGGCATGAAACTACATATGAAGAAATTCTGGACTCTAAGCCTTTGAATAACGAAACAGTCCTTATGAATCGTGCGTTGTATGGAATGAATGAAATAAGTATCAATCTTACTTCAATTGTCAGGCTACTACTTGATGTGGTATGTTGGTCAGATTACTCATTGAATAGTTTTGTACAATTTGAAGGTTGATTTGGTTATGGGTACTGGATACGTAGTTGTTATGCTTTGTATATGACATTTAGTTTTTCTATACTTTGTTTTTATGTAGTGCTTGAATCCATTCTACTGCTTCCAAATATTCAGTTGTATTTTGTGGTATTCTGATGAGTACTGGATGTACGCTACTTGTATTGTTGTTATTTCAATTATGTCACTATCATGGCAGGTTTATGAACTACGTAGAGTAAGTAACTACTTTCTTATTCTAACGGTTTTTATTAAGTGATGGTCTTGTTTTGATGTACTGGTCCAATGATTTACAGAATGCTTTGATTATCAGGACGTTACTTGTTCACCGATCTTATCTACTATAGTTTAGATAGAAAAGCAGTATCATTAAATTATTTAATAAGTGTGGTTTGGAGCTGAGCATTTCGATTTTTCTTACTTATTGGGAAGTTTCAGCTGTTTGTTTGCATGATTTAATTGTCAAAGGAACGTAAAATAATGATGGATTGATAATGTCAAGCGGTGCGAATGAGATAGCTAGTCAGCTGCTTTGTTACCTCGATTTAAATTTTTCAATCAACGTGCAGTCGAAAAGCAAGAACAGCTGACCGCATGACCAATTTTGTCATTCTCTTCCCTTCTGAATACAAAAATGTGAAATGATTAGTTTTAATAGTGTAACCTACTAGTAGTATAACCTATCCACATGAAATGATATCTGAGAGTCAGTAAATGTTGAGTGAGTCAAAAACGTTAGGCATCGATCTATGTTAGGTTTATTATTATAGTTTTATACCTGCCTAATAAAAGTAAGTTTGATTTAATCGAAGCAGTTGTTTTACTTAGTCTCTGCATCAGTAGGCCTCAAAATACACAAGGGAAAAACCAAAGTTCTCAAATACAACACGGAGAACACCAACTTAATCACTCTTGATGGTGGAACTCTGGAAAATGTGGAATCATCCACATACCTGGGAAGCATCATCAATGAACAAGAAGGATCAGATGCAGTCGTAAAGGTGAGGATTGGCAAAGCAAGGGCCGCACTCCTTCAATTGAAGAACATATAGAACTGAAAACAACTTTCAACCAATATCAAAGTCAGAATCGTCAATGCGAACGTCAAGGCAGTTCTACTATTCGGAGCTGAAACTTGGAAAACTACCACAAACAACATCAAGAATGTACAAGTATTTATAAATAGTTGTCTATGCAAGATACTCGACATCCATTGGCCGGATACCATCAGCGACAGCCTTCTGTGGGGAAGAACAACCCAGCTTCGAACTGAAGAGGAAATTAGGAAAAGACGATGGAAATGGATAAGACATACACTACGCAAATCGTCAAACTGCATCACGAGACAAGCCCTAACTTGGAATCCTAAAGGAAGGAGGAAAACAGAAAGGCCAAAAAACACATTACGTCGGAAATAAAGGCAGATATGGAAAGGATGAATAACAACTGGAAAGAGCTGGAAAGGATTGCCCAGGACAGGTTTGGATGGCGAATGCTGGTGAGCGGCCTATGCTCCTTCACGAGGAGTAACAGGCGTAAGATAAGTAGGTAAAATTAAGTTGTACTAATTCGTAAATGAGGTCGTAAATCCTTACCATTCCTCTCATTTTGTATTTATTCAAGGGCTAAACTGCGCCACATATTAAACTGTGTATATTTATGACGGTTTGTTTGTGGTGTTTTTCTAACTAGATTAAATGAGTTGCTTTACAAAGTGATAAATTAATTCATAACGGTTTCGCCATTAGATTTTGATAAAAGTGATGAGGATAGCTTGATCCTAATTATTCGGGTAACATGGTACGTTGTTTCATGGGGTGATTTTAACTTTTATCTATTAGCGTGTGAATCTGAAAAACACTGAAATGTTCTAATTTAAAGAAAGACCATTTATAGGACAGGACGTATGTGTTTATAGTAACTATCAAATAACAGTTTCTTCCTTCGTTTCCTTAGATCCAGTGAATTTTCTTAGTCAGCATCGTGTGATAAATTCACACATGGCACCATTGAATCGTGAATTAATAGAACGTTGTATAATTTTGTATTTGAATGTTTTGAAGCAATGCTAATAATGCTGTATTTGCATACTTGTGTTTCCCCATTTGTAACAAAACGCTTTTTTTGTAGAACGAAAAGACTCTTAAAGAAACTATGTGTATATCCTCTTCTGTAATCGTTTATCGAGAGGAAGATGGGGTTAAAGGTATGCACATATTTTATTTTTCTGTAATCCTTTTCATGACTTGTATGATGACTACCTGTGTGGTGTGTGCTACTGATGTCGACAGATATAAGTAGTATGTGTCATCAATCGGAAGTGAAATGCCTGGAGGCAGGAGGTTAAGAAGATTGAAGGAAAGAGAGGGATAACGGAGGATGATTCGTGTGGAATCGAAAGAACAGTGAAGTTTGAGGCGATTGAGTAACATTTCCAGAAGGAACAGTCAAGTTTGAGACAATTGATTGACCTTTTGTAAATAAAGTATTTAGTGTATGGTTGTCAGATTTTACTAAGAGATTCTGTGATTTTGTGTTGAAATACATTTGGTTTTCCGCACTTGTGTTCTCGTTCGCTACACTTAGATTCCATTCGTTTGATTGTTGCGACCCATGATTTCTGATTGCTAACGTTATTGTGCAGTAGCCTAGTGGTTGGAGGATTCGACTTTCAATGATTGATTTGGTGCGAACCGCCCTCAGAGTATTTTAATCCAAGTGGTCATCTGGTATCTTTGCTCATAAAATATGTACCTAAAACGAATATGAAAGCCTGTAGTTGATAGATCGTTGGAAAATGTATCGTATTGTAAAAAAATCGACCTAAATCAGCCAAAAGTATACTTGGTATTTATTGTCATTAATAATTTCTAGGTCGCCTATGTGTCTTCAAATTTTCAAACTAAATGGTTGATTATCTATGATTTTTAGACGCATAGACATCCACTCACTTTCTAATGTTTTTTTGTCGGTTGGAGAAAGAAATAATCTTTCAACTTTGTTTTAATTTCTCCGTAGTTTGAGGGCTAAGTCAAAAGATATTAGGAGATGGGGATAATACATATTCAGTTGAAGCGCATTTACGTTAGTTGAACATTGTGATAGTATCCCATTCTGTGATCGAAGTAAAGTCATAGCATAAATGAGTTACACTATAAGACCTTTATTACCTGATATTGATATGAAACTGACTAGGTTCTTTACCTGTTTCATGTCAAGGCAATCTCCCATACTCAATCACAAATCTAGTGACGTTTTTAAGTTAGCTAATCAGTGTGACTTACTGATCCTAAAAAAGCACGTCTGTTGTCCAGGGTTTAACAGTTCCGTCCATTACTTAAAAGGAATTATCACTGCAAAAATTAGGTGTCTATAACATGTGTTTGCATATTTTGCATACTTTTAAATGCGTTTCATATTCTACCAATTTTCATAATAATGTATTCGTTTGTACTGATGAATATGATTTAGTTAAACTGAATTACGTTTATAACATAGCGGACCAGTTGTGTAGTAACTTTCTTTGTAAGATATAAATGGTGTATTTTTGCGAGTTAGCAAGTTAGGGATAACGGTGGACAAACTCTCAACATAAACCTCCGTAAAATCTGACCTCGAAATTTTTCTAAGTCATTTATCAAGCAGTTTTCTTTTTTGGCAAAAATAATAGGCCGTCCACGATACGCATTTTCTGGTATTTAATGGGGAATTTTAACTTTTAGTCTTCCTAAATTTGTATTATTAACACTATCAATGAGATCTATTTGAAAAAATCGCATGATTTATTTTTGTATCGGTTATTTGAATCCCCATTGATATTTCGGACTGTAATTGTGCGACCCGTGCTGATTGCCTCGATATTGACTTACATCACAAGCATCAGAAGTAGAGATGGATGGTGGCTAGCGGTGGAATCCTGTGCGTGCGTTTCGCCCTATTTGGGACCTGTGAGTTGTACGTTATTGTTTCCCAGAGACTACGTTCACTCCGGGACTCGAACCCAGTGCTGTTCGCTTCAAATGCCATCGCGTTATCCACCTAGCTACTGAGTCCACATATCCGGTTTCTGGATTCCACTGCTAGCCACCATCCATTTCTGCTTAGTGATTGTATAGTTTGGTCCAACCGTTCTTTTAATCCCTCAAAATGGTTATTTTAATTCCCTTAACAGTAGATATTCAGACGTAATAATCCATTTGTTTATTAATATTTGAGAAGGAATGTCTCATAAATAATTATTTTCACAGAATTCAAAGAAGTGGATTCCATTTCATTAGTTCCCGGTGATATAATTGAAATTCCACAAAACGGGTGTCTGGTTCAATGTGATGCCATCTTACTAGCAGGAAACTGCATAGTAAATGAAAGTACATTGACCGGTGAGTCACATTAGTATAATGTTACTGTAGATATGGATTCATTAATATGTGAAGTAATGTCAACCATATTCTTAACTCAGTCTTTTGAGTCCTCCGATAAATTTTATGTGAATACACAAATACATATGAAGATTGCTGTAAAAAAATTATGTTCTTTTATCCCTTTTAATCGTTTATTTCATATATTTTGGTTTTACATAATTCTCCTCAAGTACTCCATAATAATAATTATGATGATCATAATGATAATAGTGTTCCTTATTTAGAAAGTACAGATTCACATACTACTCGACCTTAAGTTTTGGTGTTTATGTGAGGTGTATTGGTTTTTCGGAACTGGCCACACTGAAATGTGATTTAGACCTGTGACCTTATGATTACGAACCGAGTGCAGTAACCGCTTGTTCGTTGGTTCCCTATCGATCCCTTAAAGCACTCTCTGTTTGTGGGTCGTCACACTACAGATGTTGATAATGATACGATATGAATTATTTAGAGTACCATCGTCAAAATGTACAATCTGTATAGTGTTTCTTTATTTTTGTGGACTGGGAAATATTGTTACAGGACTAGGATACATCGTCATTAAAGTCGTTCGAGAGGAAATAGGTCTCACTGATCACTGACGATGTTTTTGTTTTACATGAACTACTATGTGAAAAAATAAGCAGTGTAATCTATGCATGAACATGGAAAGATGAGTGTGGTTTTTTGCATGACGGCGAGATCGTTTTTGCTCTGCGTGTGGTTGGTGTGAAACTTTGGAGATGTTCATCAATAACTTTGTATGGAAGTAGCCACCATTATTTTATCTTACAGTAATGTGGTGAATAACAATGTATTAGAAATTAATATGTCATTTGTGGACGATTTTTCCAATGATAAAATTTCTATTGTATAAGCTTAAGACAGAGTTTTGTAAAGGAGTGTTGGGATACTCAGAAAAATATCCCAAAAACAATTATCAGGTTAAGTCTAACGCTACCCTTGAACGTTAAATGGTGTCATTTCCCTATTGGTCGTTTCCCTACTGATCAATATTTATTTCAATGGTTAAGATCATGAGTCAGTTGAAGCTAGACCACCATGGAAAACCTGGAAGCACTCATGATCCTAACCATTGAAATTACTACAATCTCCACAAAAACCCATCTGATATCAATATTTATTTCGCGTGCCATTTTCCTATTGATCAATATTATTTAACGTGTCACCTTTCTGTTGGTCAATATTTATAGTAATTCTAACTGCATAAATATGCATTTGTTTGTAAATCATTATTCTGCTGCTCCTGACCCCATAAACGATTTTTCATCTACGGTTGGTGTTCTGATATATTGGAGATTGGAAACAGTATTGGAGTCGAACTGGGATATCTGAAGCTTGTCAATCGGTAGAATTTAGAGTAGCCAACTCGCGATTCACAATAAATTGGAAACGGAGATTTAGCAACAAGTTGGTGACTAACTATGGGTCCAGCCAAATTAGAAAAACTGTTCGAACAGCAGCTGAAGCTGATGGAGATGATTACTCAGACGCACATATCTTCTCGAGTCCCAACTATACCGACAATTCCTGAATCAGTTGATGGTATTACCAGTGGTATTTCAGAATTTCTTTATGATCCTGATACCAACATTACATTTGATACCTGGTTCAGACGTTATGAAGACCTTTTTAAAGTTGACTTTGCTGACAGAGATGATTCGTGGAAGGTGCGTCTCCTTCTTCGTAAACTTGGTTCATCCGAGCTGGATAAGTATTGCAACTTCATTCTACCGCAGAACCCACGCGACCGTTCATTCGACACCACTATTCAGTCCCTTAGCCAACTTTTTGGTGATCATCACTCATTCTTCAGTACCCGATATCGCTGCTTAAAACTGGTCATGAATGAGTCCGATGACTTCCTGATCCACGTCGGCGTTGTTAACCGTAAGTGCGAACGGTGAATCGCGAGTTGGCTACTCTAGATTCTACCGATTGACAAACTTCAGATATCCCAGTTCGACTCCAATACTGTTTCCAATCTCCAATATATCAGAACACCAACCGTAGATGAAAAATCGTTTATGGGGTCAGGAGCAGCAGAATAATGATTTACAAACAAATGCATATTTATGCAGTTAGAATTACTATAAATATTGACCAACAGAAAGGTGACACGTTAAATAATATTGACCAATAGGAAAATGGCACGCGAAATAAATATTGATCAGTAGGGAAACGACCAATAGGGAAATGACACCATTTAACGTTCAAGGGTAGCGTTAGACTTAACCTGATAATTGTTTTTGGGATATTTTTCTGAGTATCCCAACACCTCCCCTTTGGAGAAGTTAATAGCGACGTAACCGAGGGTTTACTTGAAGTTTATTTGGGTGTCTTCTTTTGCGATCCGACCTCCGAGGCAACCACACAACCAGAAGGATGTTCTACTTGAGTAGATGACTTAGTCGTCTCTGTTGGAGGCATTGGCGGAAGTTGAAACGTGTCCAACAGCAAGTCGAGTGGGACGCGTTTTGTAATTGCTTCTTTCTCCTTCGCTTCCCTTGACCTGAGTTGATTGTGGTGCCTGGTCCAGATTTCTTGGTTCACCTTGACATCATACATGACGTTCCCATGTTTTTTTGTGATTTCACCCTCTACCCATCTATCGCATCCGTGTCTATAATCTCGCGCATACACTTTTGTGCCAACTTCGTAGGGAATTCGAGTATTCTTCATCTGGGGGCTTTGCTGGGCCACTTGCTTGGGTTCCATCGCACCATGAACTGTCCGTAGTTTTCGCCCCATAAGCATTTCAGCAGGGGGTTTGGAGTTTGGCAATAAGTCATGCGGGGTCGTCCGGTACGCAACCAGGAATCGTTCTATGATATCTTCTGTGGTCCCCTCCCATCGTGCTTTAAGCATGGCTTGTTTAAGTGTATCAACGAACTTTTCAGCTTGCCCATTAGATTGCGGGTGATATGGCGGAGAAAGAACATGGTTGATCGAATTTTGCAGGCAAAATTCTCGGAATTGGCTAGATGTGAATTGTGAACCATTGTCTGTTACTATTGTTTCTGGAAGACCATGCTGAGCGAAGATCCGATTAAAGAGTTTGATGGTTCGAGTTGTAGAGGGTGGCGCAATCGGCAATATCTCTGGCCATTTGGAGTATGAGTCAACCAGTATCAGATATGTGGTACCATCTAGGGGTCCGGTGAAGTCAATATGCACTCGCGACCAGGGTTTTTCTGACTTCGGCCAGGGTACTGGAGGCAACTGAGGAGGATTTTTCGCAGCTATTTGGCAATGTGAACATCTTTTGACGAAGTCGACAATCTGCTTCCTTCTTTATCTGGCCGTAGCGTTTTTCAGCAGGTGTTAGTGTTCTCGAAGCGTGCATCACCGCTTTCTCTGACCCGTCGGGAAAGACATGTGAGAGTACGGCACCGAGTCCATGTATTGAAGCGTCAGCAGCAACCAAAATGGGTAGTTTCGGATTGTAGTGGGTTAGCAGAAGATTGGAACTTAGCATGGCTTTAAGTTTTGAAAAGGCTGACTCACATTGCGTTGACCAATTCCAGGTAGCGTTCTTTTCTAGCAGACGATTCAGTGGATATCGTACGTCATGCAGTGATGGAAGAAATGCTGAATAGTAGCTGATCATTCCCAAAAATGATCGGAGTGAGGAGAAATCAGTGGGAGCAGGCATTTGTTGGATTGCATAAAGGTGTCGTCCGGAAGCATCAAAGATAAACCCCAGGTACTTAACGAAACGTAAGAAGAATTGGCATTTTTCTGGGCGAAGGCGAAAACCATTATCCTGGAGGTGTTGCAGAACTAAGTGGGTTCTGATATGCAATTCATCAGCAGTTGCGCCGACAATGAGCACATCGTCAAGGTATGTAGCAACACCAGGAACATCTGCCAGAATAGTGTCCATGATCTGCTGGAAGATCGCTGGAACAGTTTTGATACCGAAGGGTAACCGGGTGTACTGAAAAAGTCCTCGGTGAGTGTTGATTGTCAACAACTCTCTCGATTCGAGAGCGACTGGAATTTGAAGGTAAGCATCTGCCAGATCTAGCTTAGCAAAGTAGGTACCACCATTTAAAATAGTAAATAAGTCATCTGGGATCGGCAGCGGATAGTGATGCTGTTGTAGAGCCCCGTTGAGTCCTGTGGAAAATTCTCCACAGATACGTATGGAACTATTGGATTTTTTTACAACCACAATCGGTGCAGCCCATGATGAATAAGAAACAGGTACTAGGACACCCTCAGTTTCCAAACGTTGAAGTTCAGCGTCAACCAGAGGTAAAGATGCGTATGGGACTGGACGCTTTGGGCGAAAAACTGGCGTAGCTTCTGACTGCAGTTTTAAAACAGCTCTAATTGTGGAACAAAGTCCGAGATCAGGCTTAAATAGTTCAATAAATCGTTTTCGAAGGTCTTCAGTATGCTGTTGTGCAGAAGCAGTAGTTTGGACTTGATTTCAGATAGCGCTAATAGGAAGATCAGCGAGACCAAGTTCTTCGAACCAATCTAAACCTAAAAAGTTGAGCGGAGAACTGGTGATGTAGCATGTCCCATTGAAGGTTGTACCTCTGAATGAAATGCAGCAATAGAGTTCACCATGAAGGCGGAGATGACCCCCACAGGCACTGACGGCTGTCTGAGAGGATGGTTTGATGGGAGGTTGGCCCAAGGTTCGCCAAGTCTTTTTCGACAGAATGGTGATATCTGATGCAGTGTCCAACTGCAAACGAACTGGCTGACCGTTGATTGAGAGGGTCAGAAATTTGCGTCGAGTCGCGGCATGAGTATGGAAGACTGCTGCTAAACTCCTTAATGAGGTAATCGGCTTTTTGTGAAAACGACGCTGCGTCTGTGCATTTCGACGGTTATTGGATCGGTTGGATTTGCAAAAGTCGCTTTTGTGACCGACTTTCTGACAGCGATCGCACACATGCTGTTTGAATGGACAGAACTTCACGTAATTCCAGGCTCCACAGTGTCAGCATGGCGAGGGAGGCTTCTTCTGAGCCGGTTTAGAGTGATTAGAGATAGAAACAGCACTGGCGTTCGAAGGACTCGAGTTTGTCGATCTCGAAAATTTTTTCTGGTGCTGAACAGCATGAACTTCGGAACCACCCTGGCCCCCAGATTGAACCAAAGTGGTGTCACGCTGCAGATTGATGATACGCTGGTATTCGTCTATGATCGCATTAAGTGTCAGTGTTGGATCTTGTTCAAGGCGGTTAAGCAACCGAGTTCTGATGTCGGAGAATTTGGGTGACTGAAGACTGCATATGAGTATTAGGGACTTGAATTGGTCTTCAGTGAGGGATCTGAGCTTGAACCGTTCGTACTTACGGTTAACAACGCCGACGTGGATCAGGAAGTCATCGGACTCATTCATGACCAGTTTTAAGCAGCGATATCGGGTACTGAAGAATGAGTGATGATCACCAAAAAGTTGGCTAAGGGACTGAATAGTGGTGTCGAATGAACGGTCGCGTGGGTTCTGCGGTAGAATGAAGTTGCAATACTTATCCAGCTCGGATGAACCAAGTTTACGAAGAAGAAGACGCACCTTCCACGAATCATCTCTGTCAGCAAAGTCAACTTTAAAAAGGTCTTCATAACGTCTGAACCAGGTATCAAATGTAATGTTGGTATCAGGATCATAAAGAAATTCTGAAATACCACTGGTAATACCATCAACTGATTCAGGAATTGTCGGTATAGTTGGGACTCGCGAAGATATGTGCGTCTGAGTAATCATCTCCATCTCCACTCAAAGTGTGTAGAGTCTTCAAGAGATTTCACCGAAGTAAACAAAATTCAATGATATGGTTTCCTGTATCTGGGTGCGTGGAGTATCAATTATATTGGATATTTTTGAGCTTGAGAAATACTTCATATTGTTAAATTAATTTCCGTGTTGGGTTTAAGAGCAACTGTATTTGAATGGCCGGATGCTGGGATTACACACATGTATTTTGTGGTGCGAACTCAGTTTATTTCCGTTACTACAAATAAGCAGGAAGTTCCCTCATCCGAGTAACAAATATGATCAAAAAGCCTAAACATGATTTCCCATTTGCACTCCACTTGCTCATCATTTAAACAGTTTAGTACAGTGATACACAGTGAAATAAGATACTGTGCTTGTTCACAGACTGTTTTCTTGTTTTTTGTGTTGTCTACACAAATAATGTTTCATGTTCAGAGAGTTGACACGAAGTGCTAATTTGAAAAACCGACTATATCAGTTGTTATGAATACTTTGCTGTTCTAATTACTCGAAATTCACTGGATCATATTGATTTTCACTTTGGACTTTGTATTTAAGACCATACTAACCCCGGTGTATTTCCAAATAATATTGTTTTCTATTTAAGGTGAAAGTGTTCCAGTTACCAAAATTCCCTTACCCGATTCACCATCAAAGGGTACGTTATTCGATATCAAAGTTCATGGTCGGCATATTTTATTTGCTGGTACTACTGTTATTCAAACAAGAAATTATGCAGATGAGCGAGTTCTGGCTGTTGTTGCACGCACTGGCTTTTACACTGTCAAGGGTGAGCTTGTACGGTCAATTCTGTTTCCGAAACCTCTAAAATTCAAATTCACCCAAGATTCCTTCCGGTTTATTTTTGCTTTGTCTATTCTTGCTGTGATTGGTTTGGGAGTTTCAATCTACTTAATGGTAAGAAGGGATGTTTTTGTGCAGAATGTGTAGTTGTTTTCACCTGTCATTTGGTTACTGATGCTTTTCCACCATTCATTCCTTATCTCGTCCACCTTTTCAATACGATTTGCTCAGTTGGGGATTTAATTTCTGGTTTAAATATATTTTCTATTGGATTGTGTAAAGTTTAACCTATCGTGTATTGACTATGGTAGCCATGTAATTGAATCGCTTCTACGACACTATCCTTTGGAGAACGTGGATAACCTATTATAATAAAGTCTCTAGTTTTATTGATTTACATATGAAGATGACAAAGTCCTGTTTGGTGAATATGGTGACAAAATTCAGAGTCTTGTTACCTCCTTGAGCAACAATTCAAACATGTTACGGATACGATTTCCTTTATTTAAATACGATATACTGACTCATAACTTTCTCGTGTCAACGCTTCAACTGATTGTAAGGAATGGAGCATTTTAATGCATTGAGCAGTTCATTTTTCTTGAAATTCTCATCAGCCTTGATGGTCTGGTGTCTGACTAGATCTCAGGGTTCACGTGATTGTTGTCACAAATATTGGGAGACTAGGTGATATGGTTCAGGTGTGCCCTCAAATGCCCTGGTACGGCCGAGAGTAGGGAGAGTCCGCTCTTCCTCTCGAAATGCTCTAACATGGCCACGCGTATATAGCCTCTGCCAGGGAAGTCCTACTCATTGCCTTCTCGTGGCGGGGGTGTTGTTTACGAAATTGAGAGGACGAAAAGCGAATGTCCGGCGCTTTAACCGGGTTGTTGGACATAGAGAGTCCACCTAAGGGAGTTGGAAAACCCTGATTCCAAACCAATGGTACACATGCGCTCCAGTTTCCTGAAGCAACAAATGGCGTATGAACCAATCGCTAGTCATCAGCTACCATAAGACTGCATCTCCTGACGTTGCTCCACTGTCTTGTGGATCAGACCTTCAGGTTGAAGGCTCCGGCTGTGGCCCCCTAAAAAAAACCACCCGCTTCGGTTTAGGCACCCGGGCAGTATCACAGCCCTCACACATATCAAATGAGATTTGTGTGGTCTATATGTATTTGGTGTCTCATTGTACCAATATCTATGTGTTAAAATAAATAATCAGGTGTAGGTACATTCTCCCCACAGAACCTGAATTCCGTAATCTCGTTATACTTTCCTTTTTCTTTTTCTATACCTCGAGTGCTTTCCACTACTACCAGTACTGTTTCTGCTTCTACTACACTGGGATTTGTCTTGATAATTTTATCGTGGTGTGTTAATGTGGTATGTCAACTTGAACTGATGCACCTGTGTGTAAGGTTTCACGTTGCACATGACTGACCGACTGATGGTAGTTTTCTGTAACATCCTCAAATTTCGATGCATTTTATATCTGATCCATTTTACTTGGTGTGCAAGACACGTGTTCATGGAAATAATCAACTTAACTACCTTGTAAAAACTCAGAGCTGTCGATGATTGTGTGAGCCATTTGGTTATCAATCTTCTCACGTTAAAAGAATAGATTGGAATACTGATATAATTACTATCTCACAATCGTGCTCTCTGAATGTTGTTTGATCTCATTTGGTAATTATTCATCATGCTCATTCTTGATGTAATTGCTTCTTAGGTTACGATTTGTAGTTTTACATTCCTATCTATAGAATGTACAGTGCTCACTTAATACACAGCTGATTGTTTTTCTCTGGTTAACAAATGAATATTGAGGAAGCCTCTAACCACAGGATATTATACTCAGTGAATTTTGTTGATTACGTGTAGCATGACAGCCAACTCCTTCATTGAACCACCCGTCTAATGAATGGCTATATAAATGGAAGCATCTAGTCTAGGAGATACTCTTTAAGTTAATCATTTTTGCTATGGTCTGCTGTCAACGGAGTCTGATATTAATATACGAACGTACTATAAGTGAGTCGGGAACTTTTATTGGCTAACGAAATCTAAAAAATATCCACCACTCATAAATATACATACATGCTCAGAAAATTAAACTATATTTTCAACCATTTGCATACGTATATATGCTCAAGAAGTTAAAACGAATCTTAACTGACAACATGCACCCGTCACTATCTTGCACTTATTATTGGGCAAGTGTCCGATCGGCGAATGAATCAATTTTGGTTCTTTGAATGTTATGATTTCGTTTGATTATCATAAATATCTACGTGTACATACGTTCGGGTAGTTATACTGTGATGGCAACCTTTAGTGGCCTTACAATAATGACCTTGTGGTCAGCGACTCCGTCCGGTAGAAAACAATCTTTTCAAAAAAATACTGACCAAAATAATCACTTAGACCTTGATAGTTTCAAATAAATTGAGCATTGGATAGAGAGTTAGTGTTATATATATATATATATATTGTTATTTCCAAATGAGTAGAATAATTGTATTGCTGACTTTTTGTGACTTGATATAAGCCAAATTAAGTCACAAAACGTCAGAAATACAATTTCTCTGCTTATTGGGATATAACAAATATATGTTTATTATTAATCATTTAAACCATACAAACTCTTCCTTGGGAGTTATAGGATCTTCATTTAGAAGAATCACGACACCTCATGATGAAAACCGAAATTCTTCGGAAATCACTAGTCTGATGCCTCTTCTGACAACCAGAGCAACAATCAATATCGGTACATGGAATGTCCGGACAATATGAGAGACTGGGAGACCCAGTCAAATAACTGCCGAAATGAGGAGATGCAAATTGGCGGTTCTCGGAATAAGTGAAACCCATTAGACGCAAGCTGGATAAAAAAGGATATATCCGTGAGGAATGCTGTTTTACTCTAGTCACCAAGAAGAAAATGTTTTGCACACACAAGAAGTTGCACTGGTGCTGTCCGAAGAGGCACAAAAAAACACTTATATGATGGGATTCTCACGGGTCTGGCATCACCAGAACATTTTTGAAATTGAAGAAGGAGGGGATCACAGTGAAGGTTATCCAGTGTTATATGCCCATCGGTGAAAGCGAAAAAGGCGATAGAGATAATTTTTTTTGAGAGGCTGGAGTCATTCGTAGAGAAGTGACCAGGAACGGACCTGACCATCCTGGTGGATAACCTAAACGCAAGGGTCGGAATGGACAACATGGGATACGAAAATATCATGAGACAACATGGACTGGGAGCAAGGAACGTGTATGGAGAGAGATTTGCAAATTTATGTGTCTTCAACAGAATGATGATCGGTAGCACTATATTAGCCCACAAAGCCATACACAAAGCTGCATGGCTCTCACCGGGTCACACTACAGAGAACCAGATCGATCATATTTGCATCATTAAAATATTCGGAAGCCCAATGGAAAACATGAAAACCAAGAGATGAGCTGACATAACTTCAGATCACCATCTGGTGGTTGCCAAGATGAAATTAAAGTTTAAGAAGCATTGAACAGTTGGTGAATAACACTACAAAGGTTTGATACAAATTTCTTTTACATACTGACAAACTCAACGGATTCAAGATAACCCTCAACAACAGGTTCTAGGCCTTACAAGATCTGCTGGCAAAGAGGAAACTACTATGGAGGACAACTGGAAAGAGATCAAAGAAGCACACAATTAATAAAATTGAAGGGAAATTTAGTAAACCAGAGCGACTAGTCAGGGACAAAGAAGGCAAGCCAACCATTGATATTCAAGAGCAAAGGAAAACATAGGTAGAACACATTGAAGAACTCTTGAATAGACCGGCCCCACTGGGCTTACCGGACATGGAAGCAGCACACACAGACCCTCTTATAGCTGTCACTTCACCAACGATCGAAGAAATCAGCATGGTCATCAAACAAACCAAGAGTGAGAAAGCGGCAAGACCTAACAATAGGGGTTCCAAGAGAGGTTCTCAACAGACTGTTGCTGAACCGGATAAATGACTCAGTAGACGCCCAACTTCGAGAACAACAGGCTGCATTCCATAAAGATTGGTTGTGCACAGACCAAATCGCTACAGTTTATATTCACAGCCTAAGCCATTTTACTAGCTCTACCAATTCCTCTACGTTTAACGTAAGCGTTTTCCAGTTAACGTTCTACCATATACAAACAATACCTGAAAGACACCTACAATCAACTACTGGTTACGTACACGTGCCTTCTACACTAAATTCAAACTTTTCCACTTATCTTCATGCATATTCACTAATTAGCTGAAGAGCATCATAAGTATAAATACTGATGTCTGTCGTACTATTAGACACATGATTTGGAAATCGGATTTAACACGTAGCATCGAGTGAAGCTTTTTAACGCATAATATTTCGTATGCTCTAACTGGACATAATTAGTTTGTTTTGTTTTTTATTCAAATGATTGAAATTGTTGTTTTAGATCAGAGTTAATGTTGGTGTTGATGACATTATCCGTCGAGCGTTAGATTTAGTTACTGTGGTGATACCACCAGCCCTACCTGTTGTGATGACAGTAGGCGTTGTTCTGGCTCAACGACGTTTGCTATCGCATGGGATTTTTTGTGTCAATCCAACTGTGATCAATGTTTGTGGAGTAATCAATGTAGCTTGTTTTGATAAAGTAAGACTTTTCTCGCTGCTTTCAGCTTATTATTATTTCTGACCTGCCTTTCTAGAGTTTAATATGAGTGACTGTTTTGACCGTTTGTGTGTACCTTTAAGAATGAATCCATTTAAGTTTGTGAATCCCCTTACGATAAAGGGTTTGTTGGATTGGAATGCTTCCAAATGCCCTGGTGAGGCCGAGAGTGAAGAGAGTCACCACTCCCTCTCGAAATGCTCCCAAGTGGCCATGTGCATACAACCACCACCAGGGAAGTCCTACTCACTGCCTTCTCGCGGTGCGGGTGTCGTTTACGAAATTGAGAGGACGAAAAGCAAATGTCCGGAGCTTTAACTTGGTTGGTGGACACTGAGAGTCTATCTAGAGGACTTAGAAAACCCTGATTCCAAACCAATGGTGCACATGGGCTAAAGTATCCTGATGGAACGAATGGTGTATGAGCCGATGTTTGGCCACCGGCTACCATGGGACTGCATCTCCTGACGTTGCTCCACTACCTTGTGGATTAGACCTTTAGGTCAAAGACTCGGGATGTGCCCTCTTAAGAAAACCACCTGCACCCGGGCTGTATCCCGGCCCTCACACGCAAATCAAATGATGTTTTGTGGCGCATATCTGTTTGGTGCCTCCTTGTACCAATGTTTATATGTTTAAATAAATAATTAGGTTGGAAACCACGACAAATGATGTCCTTGTTATATTTATCTCCGAAGTGAATTTCGATTCAATTGTCTCCGGGGTCTTGAATTAATGACCAGTTAAGCCAAACCTGTCTCATCGGTTAGAAAGTATTAGTACTACACATAAATAAGATATTATTTCTTACCAAGCTTGGGAGTTTTGTTATTTCACTTTTATTGTACGAATTCCCCAATTATTTTCGAATCGTATTGTATATACCTAATATTTTTTACTACCACTGTTGTTACTATCACTTCGGTATTCACCTTGCTAATTTAATCTTTCTGTGTCATTGTGGTGTGTAAAGTTGAGTCGATTCATATTTGTGCTTGATGTGCTACATTGCTTATGGTTGACTATTTGATGTAGTTATCTTAATGTCGTCAGCTAAATAAATTTTCTCCAAATAACGAAATTCAGACTTTTCTGGTAGGCTACTGATTACGGATGTTACTGATGGCAGATGATGTTATTTGGTTTTATGGGTCGGAGATAAGGGGGATTGATGTAAAAGGTATAAATCAGTAAATCACAGTTTACTATCGATATGATTGTGTCGCAACTGTACTCCTTGTAAACACCAATACTGTTCATATACTGTAAACAAGTTGTTCAGCTAGAATTTCAAACTATTGTGTTACAGGTTGAAACTCTGTGTGGCATATCACAGTCTATTAGTATTTTTTAGTTGTCATAGAACTAGTTTACTCTGAAGTCTAATGTTTTTCTGAAAGATTTTTCTATATATCACTAGTAGTTTAACTGAGTGAACTTGTAATTTCATTGTTTTCAAAATCAAGAGTTACCTGACGTTATAAAAAGAAGAAGAAGTAGGTGTAGTTATTAAAAATATCCTTTTTCGGTAGTTTCTTTCGCTGAGCATGTTACCGATCGAATGTAACTCTTTCGATATAGTTTCAATAACTGCTTTGAGCGGTTTACTTGCCGATTTGCTTAGAAAGAAAAGGAGATGGAGTTCATTTGAGTAGGACTGAACGAACCTTAAATAGGTCTAAGTTCAAATGGTAATATTACTTTATTCCACGATTTCGCCAACTAGCATTTTGACCTGTATTCAAGTGTATAGACTACAACAAATTTGGTTGTTATCCACTCGGCTTAAAATAGCCTCCATGATTTCACTGACACCCACCTCATACTGTTGCAGTGTTTTTGAAATATATATTTTTTTCTGTGAAATATTTTAATACTTTGTTTTTTTTCGCTGTGTATATATTTGAAAACAATGCAAACTTATACCAAGTTCGCAAGGTGAATTATTTGATGAGTTGTACATCGTATAAATAAAATAGTTGAATAGTTACTTCTGTGTGCTTCATAATGGACTGAAAATCTACCAATTTTCTAAGTTTCCAGTGTATTGAATATTCAAATTATTGGGTGGCCAATAGTAGAAACTGTGTATTGATTCCAACAATATTCATTTTCTTCCACACTTTTGTTTATAGATGAGTGGATGACGTGTAAATTGAAACAAGTTCCATTCGCTTAGTTCATTACTCAGACCTTCTGATTGTTTCTCGTATGATATCTTTAAGTGAATGTAAATTATGGTGAATTCACTGTCATGGACAGTTAAAAATCAACGAAATTGAATAATTTCATATCATGATTTTAACAATCAAAGTGTGTCGACAATTGTATACCCGTTACTGTCGATAGTAAACAAAGTCAAGTAATTTGATATTAATCCAGTTACCCTAGGTCTTGTGGATTAAGTAATTATATATATCTTGGATATTTTTTGTGGTAAGGTGAATTATTTGATGAGTTGTACATCGTATAAATGAAATAGTTGAATAGTTACTTCTGTGTGCTTCATAATGGACTGAAAATCTACCAATTTTCTAAGTTTCCAGTGTATTGAATATTCAAATTATTGGGTGGCCAATAGTAGAAACTGTGTATTGATTCCAACAATATTCATTTTCTTCCACACTTTTGTTTATAGATGAGTGGATGACGTGTAAATTGAAACAAGTTCCATTCGCTTAGTTCATTACTCAGACCTTCTGATTGTTTCTCGTATGATATCTTTAAGTGAATGTAAATTATGGTGAATTCACTGTCATGGACATTTAAAAATCAACGAAATTGAATAATTTCATATCATGATTTTAACAATCAAAGTGTGTCGACAAATGTATACCCGTTACTGTCGATAGTAAACAAAGTCAAGTAATTTGATATTAATCCAGTTACCCTAGGTCTTGGGGATTAAGTAATTATATATATCTTGAATATTTTTTGTGGCTTAGTGTTTCGTGAAAACAATTCATCTACTCATTTTGCATATTATCACTAGTGTTTTGTAAGTTGTTTTCATGTTGCTTACTAATAATGATTGTGTTTGCCTTTGGAATTTCGGGTTGGATCAGAATAAAGATTGATTTTCTACTTATCTCTGTTCCATGTTTGATACCGTGTTATTCCTTTAGATGTTACAAGCTAATGTGATTTTTCTCGATTATGTTTATTGGAGAACCTCAGTAGTTCCTCGGAAACTCCCTTAGAAGCTGGTAAACGTCTCAACACACTTTGTCCTTCCGACGTTCAATAGAAACATTCGCGAGGGTTCCAGAACACGATTTGTGATGTGTTTTATCCTGCCTAAATAATTACTGATTATGTCACCATAAACCTGTAGATACATGAATTTTCTGTACCTTGACCAACCTTGAAACTTGAGATTCTTTTGATACTTTCCGACTGTTGTTTTGTGTTTGGTGTTCAAGTGTAAGAAAATCTTGTGGAGTGGTTAGCGGTTAGAAAGTCAGTATCAAGTATTAAGTTATTCAGAAATAAGCTTTGAGATCTAAATAAACTATACATCTTTTCCGTTTTTTCATAATTTTTTAATAGACGGGTACTTTAACAGAAGATGGTTTGGATATGTGGGGTATCATTCCTTATGAAGATGGTTTATTTGGAGATCCGGAATTAGAACCATCAGAGTTGGATAATGGTCCTCTAATGGAATGTTTAGCGACTTGTCACTCATTGACATTAATTGAAGGAGTTCTGTGTGGAGATCCTCTGGACTTAAAGATGTTCCAGTCAACTAAATGGGTAAGGATTGTAGATGGTTCTAGTTTTTTCTACTCACAATTTTTCCTTCTCTGAAACCTAAATGTCGTAGTTACTTTGAGGTCGTTGTAAGATTCGCACATCATAACATGTGAATTAACCTACTAGATATTTTTGGTACAGGTATGAAGGTTCTGATTGTGTGTTCCCGCTGACAGAATGAGGGTTTGGAAAATGATCGACTTTGAACGTAGTTGACTGTGACCCCACCGATGGTTTCAGCTATCTTTTGTGTGTTTACTACTTATTGAAAACCAGGATGTCATTCAAAATCAGTTTGACTGGAAAATTCTTGAAGCAAGGAGATTCCACAACTTTGACTTGTTAAGCCTTGTGGTAGATTCACATACAACAGAATGATCCTGAAACTGTATGAAACTGGATTTCCGGATTTTATTTCTTCTAGTTATCAAATATATTTCGATAAAATACTAATTTATGTACATTGAGGGGTATTTTCTAAAATATCACAAAAGCTTGTTTAAAAGGATGTATGCGTATAGGTCTTCAACAACATGTTTATTGACGCGTTTTCGTTTTGTGTTGTTTTTGTCAGGAACTCATTGAAGAAGCTGCTGACCACTGTAAATTTGAAATGGCTGTCCCTGCTATCGTACGTCCATCTAGTAAAACCAGTTTGATGGAAAAGACTTCTGGAAAATTCAATGGTGATGTAAGTTATGTTATGTAGTTAGGTTGGTGTATTTACACTGCCGTTTCTTGTACACTTGATATAAAATGCAGACTGTTCCAACCTGAGAGAGTATCGACATATGTTCTGATGATATAATGTGGAGTAGTGTTGATTTTTGTGCTGGACATAGCAACTGCTCTGGTCCTTGTTGTCCTGTTCTACGGAACTGTCTTGTCGTTTATTATCAGTTAATTGTCGGCTTACATCAGTTATTCAGTTTCACGACACGCCATCACCCTGTAGTAAGTTTTTGAAATTGCGCAAAGTCAGACTAAACCGAAATTGTACTCGTGCTAGGAAAATTATCCATGAATATTCTTTTTGCAGTTAAGTCCCAAACCATGAAAATAAAGGTTTGAATGTGGAATACCTTTTTCGCAACGAGATGATAATGAATTCCTACGATCGTTGTTTATGTACACTTTGAATGTTACTGCGAAACAAGACAGCTTAGTGTGTTAGAAATATCATCATAATAAACTGGATTAATAAAACTCCATGAAAGTCTGTTGGGGATATGTACAAACTAAGGATTTCAGCAGAGGAAAACTGTTAATCACAATTCGTATGATATAACTTATAGATTAGTAACGGTGCTCAATTATGTTACATTTTTTGAGGAGGGATGTTGACGATAACTATTTTTCGCTGTCGTCCATTTAACTGATTGTCTTAAAAAGCCACATACATTGACGTTCCTATATCAGTAGACATACATGTTGCACTGTAGTGGTCTACAAAGTCAAAATACCGGTGGTTTGTTTTTGGATAATCTACACCGTAGGCAAATGTAGTTTTATCAATTTATAGAGATGTACTTGAAAAACCCATCTATGGAGACATTGAATGTTGATGGCATCATTCACTATAATTTAAGCTGGATGTTGATTCCCATCGATTGAATTAGTGTAGTTGTAAGTAAAAGACCAATATGGGGCTTGACTTCTGTAGCGTTGTGGAAGCCTTCACCTCTATTAAGAAAGATTTCCAATCATGTCTTATTTAACTATCTTAAGCTCTAAGTGAAGGTCAATTGTTGCTACTAAGGTATCTGGTTTGACATAGTTTGCCTAGGCATTGACAAAATGGTCGTTTATACGGTTTCATGGTTTAGCTCTTTAATGATCGAACTTATTTTCAAGTAATGTTGTTATGTTTCGGCATCCTAAAACTTATTGGAATTGGGTATCATGGTCACTACTTGCCCTTATAGACTTACGGTATGAAATCACCTAAAGTAATGCTAAAACACAGTGAATATCTGAATACAACGCAGGGGATTTTGGTAAACAATATTTATAGTGTTCGGAAAGCATAGATGGATTATTAGCTTATTCCAATAGATTATAATATTTTTAGAGTTTGAGGTTGCATGTCAGCTGAGTAAATTACGACTTCCTTCTTTTCTCTGTTCTATAAAAATGCTTTTTATTGAAATCGAAAATCCTGATTTCACACACTTGTAGGATATTCCATATGAAGTGGGTATTGTACGTCAATTTCCATTCAGTTCTTCATTACAACGTATGTCTGTGATTACTCGTGCTCTCAATCAAAATCATTTCAATATCTATACTAAAGGTGCACCTGAAACTATTGAATTATTGTGCAGATATGATACTAGTAAGTAAGATGTGAATATTGTCAAGAATTTTTTTAAAATGTTAATACAACCGGTCAGTCATATTCAACGTTAAACCTAAGACAAACATATATCAACACAATTTCCGACACCATTTTAACACTCTGAGACGAAATGATAAATATGTATACCAAAGTGGTATTAACATTATGTACAGTAAGATGATTTGGCGTGTACAATCTTGTTCAAGAAAGTTCCTTGAGTTCGTGTGACAAAAATTATTTAATCGTTTTAAAACTGAAGATGTAAAATGTATGTTGACCTTTGTAAGCGAGTCGAAGTTATTCCATCTAGCATCTTTAACCACCGATTGTGCCGACCAGGTTGTATGCACCTACCAACGTGTCTGAGACCAACAGTCAATGACTTCGTGGACTGATCGTAATTCTCGATTTGACAGCCGCTGGTCATACTGTCCAACATCTTACATCAAAGTAGGGGGTTGCTGGACAGCTTAAGACTTGTTATAACTATCTTGGTCGGTTACCGAGTACGTAACTATAGCATCCTTCACTCGGTTGTCGTAAAATAAAAAATTCAGGATTCGAAGACATCTGTAATCAAATACTGGTAACCTGTAGACATCCTCTTTGAGTAGCCACGTTTCATAGCCAATAAATGATGCGAAACAAACCAGTGTTCACTATACTCTTTTCTTGTCAAAGACTGAGCTATCACTCACGCCACAGGTGACACTTGGTGATAAAAGCCAACTGTCTTTTTTATTTCGTTCTCAAATTTCATTAGACACCAACCCACGAAGATAGATGATATCCTTCGATAAATGAAATCATCGGGACACAATCTACAACTTGACTGTCTGTGATCAGATTGAAAATCGACACAGGCCAATGCTGTAGCAAAATATTTGTATTATACATTTTGAAACCATTACTAAACTGAATGGAATATTTGTTTGTTCAGCAGCGTTTCTTTCAGTCAAAAATTCTAGTTCTGCACAAGCATAGTCATACATTTTGCATATGAAATATTCACATTCTGATTGACGTCTTACAAGATCGATGTATACACATTTGTCGGTTGGTTGTTTGAAACTCTCGGTCCAAAATAGTACATTAGATTTGTTTAGTTAAAATGCTCGTAGTTGGATCTGGGTCGTGCGGTCGCATGCCATCTATTGTTCACTGTTTTAGGTATGATCAGGACCGGTGTTTTGCTCGGTGTAGTGACTTATCGGTATGCTTCCGGATGCTTTTAAACGGGTGTCAAGAGTGGACGGCATCTCTACTTTGAGTGCTCAAAGCAGGCCTATAAGCCTGAAAATCCTTGCCTGGAATAATCAAATAGGGCTTCGTTTCTGTTCGAATGAAGCATACACCTAGCTGCGTTCTGGACTGAATGTACTCTGGCTTAGTGTTGTTTACTTTAGGCTTCAGCGGTTATTGATTTGAATGAATTTAAAATTTTTATTTAATTTTGGTAAATGGTATTTGGAATAAATGCATACTTCAGAGTTTTCTTTCCAAGAAAAAATATAGGTACATAGTTCTGTTTACCACATTATCTTGTACTAAAATAACTTTATTTCTCTCCAATGACCTCCGTTTTGCCTGATTAAAATATTTTTCTTTTCTTAATTAAACCTATTTGAGTCCGGAATTCTTTCATTCTATAAAAAAGTTTATTATGTGTTTTTATCAATATAGTGTTGTCAATATCTTTTGAAATTCTGAAGATTTTTTACTATATTTTTGCGTTTATTCTAGGCCTTGTCCTTTTGTTGTTATTGCTATCACTATTTCAACTAGCATAGCTACTGTGTTGATTTTCTTTGTTTCTTAGATTATTTTATTAGAAGATTTTCAATATTCTCAACACTTAGTGTGTTGTTTATAAGTTTTAGCCGAGATTAAAGTACAGAGAACAGATTAAAACAACAGCGAAGAATATAAAACAATAATATTACAAATTGTAAACGAATATTACATAGTTATTGAATTTATTGAATTCCTTTACATGTTAATATGCCTGTTAATTGAAAAGCAACGATATAAAAACTCGTCCTTATAAACACAAATTATTCGTTTTCTCTAAATCCTCATAGGGAACTAAAAAGACTAATGAGTTCTTTCTTCGATGTTGGTCAAGATTTTTATCACAAACTTGTATTAGCTATAATGCAACAATTTTCTGTATAAGGTATTGTCTGATTAGTTCGTCCATAAAATATGATGCCACCGGGTTAGAATTTAGTTCAGAATTAATAACTTTGGGCTAAAATTTAAGGGTAGCGTCGATTTGTTTTTTACGCACAGTTTACGGAAAGAAACTTGGACAATTAATACGTTCAACACTCATTTTTCTTTACTATGGCAAAAGTATTTCTACCATTTGTGATATGTGAATTTCACTTAAAGCCTGACAGTTGCATTCTCGATTGTTATTCAGTTGTTTCTATACTTTACTTTTACTATAAGTACAAATATCTCTTTATATTGTCATTTTTCGTAAATGTACAGTCATTAGCGAAACACTGGAACTAAAATAAAATGTTAACTAGAACCAAAACATTAAAAGTTTTCTCTCTTCATCGAACAAATATCTGATTTACACAGGCGTTTATTGGTAACTTCAATTCTCTGTTAATCCTTATATTAAAACACAGTGTTTTATTCAAATAAATGTCAATGTGTTCAACTGATGTTGCTTTTAGATTACTCCCTGATAAAGTTGTATATCAGTTGTGTTTGTTAAGGAACTTCAGTTATTGTTTTCTTCTGTTCTTTAGTTCCTAGAGATTTCCATTCTACTCTGTTGGAATACACACGTGAAGGTTATCGAGTTTTAGCGTTAGCTTGGAAACCATTGAAAGCAACCTATACAAAAGTTTTACACGTATCTAGGGAGCGCGTTGAACAGAATTTACGATTTCTTGGTCTACTAATCATGGAGAACCGTTTGAAACCGGAAACAACTCAAGTGATTGAAACTTTAAGATATGCCAACATTCGACCTGTAATGGTAACTGGTATGTTTCTTTCTTATTGGTGTGATTGTTTTCAATGTGATTTCTCTTGAAAGCGATTTTTTAGATTATTTTCTCTAACAGTTATTAACGTCAGTCGACATAGATATACATTGAACCTGAACTTGGAATATTCTAAATCTGTATAAATGTACTGTTGACCTTCAAAGTATATTATTATTACTATTATCATCATTTTGTATCTGAATTTTAACCTTTGTATATCGAATTAGTCTGTCACGGTCAAATTAATAAGCTACATGCTTGAGTCTGTTATCTATCTAAGCTCATATTTAGTGAACAGTGTCTCTCTGATGTGGTGCTTTTTTCATTCCAAGAATCCCAGTTAACCATGATATCAGTATGGTGGAGGATTGTAATGAATATTAAATTGAAATAGTTTACATGATTTTCTTTCAATTTTTGTGACTCAATGGAACTTCATAAATTAATAATTCTTGTCAATTATAATTTACGTTTGTTGGTAATATGAATTGACAATATGCGTTGTCGCTCATCATTCAACCTTCTTATTTAGGTGATAATATGTTGACTGCATTGTCAGTAGCTCGAGATTGCGAGATGATCGATGAACTGGATCGTATTATTCTTGTGTCTGCAAAACCACCACCATTTCCTCGTCATGTTCAGTCATCTAGTCCGAATGATTCTGTAACTTGTTCTACCAAAGTTGATCTACCCAGTGATCAACCACACAGTCATACTTCTTCAAATCATGTTAGTTTACCATTTGTTTCGTTAACACAATCACAAGGAACAAGAAACAACAATAGACCACGTACACACTCAAGTTTTAATGCAGCAAATTCTTTATTTGAGGAAAACTTCTTCAATCAACAATACGATTCATTAGTTGAATTTCATTATGCTGAAGATTTACACAAACCAGTCACTGAAGTGACAGCTACAACTGAAACAAGAACAACGAGGAAGTCTCATAGATCTCAACCTGTTAATAATACTTCGACTGAAACTGATGTTGATCCGCACAGATTCTCTGTAAGGAGTAGTAGGAAATCTCGAAAATTGATGCATCGCTTGTGTGAAGATGTTCCATGTGTGTAAGTTCATATGAATTCATTTGTGAAAATCTCCTACTAAACCAATATTTATTTTTTCCATTATGTAAATGTAATCGCTTTCATCTAGACTGTTTAGAAAACCCTCTAGGAAGCACGTCATCAGTGATCATTCTACTATGTTATGTATACCTTACCTATATATCCGCTTTATAATTGCCTCTTCATTAACATAGCCCTTGAACCATTTGCGTGGTATTTTTCTATCTTTCTATAGACCTATATATATTTACCAAACAACTACAAATTCGAATGTACAGCCTAAGTAAATGTTATTACTTTTGTTGACTAACATTGACTACCAGATCTTATCTCTACCTTGCTTGTACCTTGAAATCTCTGAACTTCAAGTTGCATGCTAACAACTCAGCACCTGGATTATTCATGAATAACATCTTGAATCATTTGGGATGTTCTACATTTTGATCTCTATTTAGTTTTTTGACTATTTGTATGGAGTACGTAGTCAACCATACGATTACTCACCTTCATGTTTCAAGCCATATTTCGATATTTAAGTTCTCTGAATTGTACAATTGTGCGTTCACAGATACTGTTAAAAGTTAGTTGACAAACAGGGCAGTTCGCAAGTAACGATCATAATTCAATCACTAATTTCAGAAGTGTTCACTCAACCTTGAATTAAACTGGATCGTGTGACATCTGAAAACCCTGCATATGTTTCTACAACATAGTAGATAAGGATTTATGGTTTAGATGTTGTTGAAATTACTAGAAGTTTGGTGATCTGAAGTCATTGGAGTCATCGCGCAGATTTCCGTTCACCATTGTTTGACAGTTCGAAACTATGTAACTAGATGCGAGACCTCATGGTATAAACATCCTGACTATTGAGTACTATAGATCTGCATGAATGATGTCTCCTACGGAACGATGGATTCGTGATTAATAGATTCCTGTTTGACCTATTCGGTGGCCAGTTCTAATTCCGTTGCACATAACTTCGTTAACGTTTGCCACAAACTATATGGATTGAAGCTGAGTATGTTAATCATTATTCGACTAACCAACTACTTGGATTACGTTTACTGAAGATATGTAAACCGAACTAATAATTCGTCGAATAACGTTCCCCTAGTGTTCTGTTGTGACCGCAGTGATCTGAAGCTATTCACAACTCAAATGTCTCACTATCCATTAATTGTGTTTTTTTTGAGGAATACTTTTAAATCTATTAAATTCCACGATTATTATTTGTGTGTATTTGTTTGTTTTAATTTGATTTTCGCTCAGTTCACGGGGATGTGAACAGCATTCCTCACCGTCTTCAAGTTCGCTGACAGATATAACTGCGGTGCCTAATGTTTCAGTGAATGGTCATCCTCGTGCTTCTTTATCCGATCATCAACAACATCACCACTATGAAGGAAGAAAGAGTGGATGTTATTCGAAAGATGATTTGCATTCAGTAACAAATCGTCGTTTGAATCCCACTCATTCTGTATCTATACGGATGCTCGATCGACCTGATTTCCACCTAGCTATGTCTGGCAAAACGTGGGCGATCATACGAGAATATTATCCCTGGCTTATACCAAAGGTGAGTAATAATGGGATTATCAATGTATATCGAAGGTAATTTTAAAGTGGATATGGTCGTTCGACTACTTCACTGAGTTGAACTCGTAGTGCTTAATGATCGTTAGTTAGGTGTTAAGTTCAAACCTCCTATCATTTGTGTAGAGAAATGTATTATTCACACAGCAGACGTGTTTTATGTAACTAAAGCATTATGTGGGTTGATAAGGAACGATATTATAAACCAATGATGGACATATTGTTATCCATTATAATATAATTTTTATTGTGTAGGTGATATATTTATCATAGTATCGCCAAAATGTATGCTAAATCTCAAAATAATGTATGACGTATATACATGTTCAACTCTGTGTACTTGTCGCTAGACAATTTTTAGACTTTTATTGTTTGAAACACTTCATCACTGTAACAGACTTGAGTGCTTAGTCTTTAATTTTGTGTACTTTCTTATGCAAAATGCACTCAATGTACAACCAAAACAGTGTGATAACAAAGTGCAGTGACACAAACAAGTTTTGTGCTGTTTTACCGAAATAGAAAACACCCAATTTTCAATTTGATATCCACACATCTTACAGTGTGTACATAGTTGGATTTGCGTCAATCTAATACACAGTATTTTTTCAACAGTACTAACTCAGTAATTAGCATACGTTTATGACGTGTTGACGTTTTGTTAACGCATCTAAAAATAATTGTCCACTTGATGTTTGGTGGTTGGAGATAGTCGATAAGAAAGTTTTGACCTGGGTTTCTTGCTAACTGACACTTGTCTGCGAAGTGCACCTGAGAGTACTGGTTCCCTATATAGGATTCGGATCGTCATGGATGGAATTTGGTCAACACTCAAAGGACTAGACAGACACGATATCGGTAACTAACCAGTTATCAGCTAATTGTAATCTGTTCACTTGTAGTTATGAAAATACGGTATTTTTCACCGAAATTCGGGTCGGCGAAACGTCGTTGTATTTGATTAGTCCCACGATTTTCAGATCTATTTCATTTGTTCTAAAGTGATCAGATCTCACCATGTCTCTCTGAATGATGATCTGGACTACCGAATGCTTGGTAAGGACAGCACAAGAAGTGAAATGATAGTCTTTTACTACACTTTTCTGTATACCTTTTCCTGTTTCTTTCGTGATTTATCCACCTTCCATTATATTTTTAGTTTCGAAGCATGAATATTTCAATGTTAATAGCACTGTTGTGTTTAGATTTGTTTCTAATTGTTTTCTCTTTTTTTTCTTTCTCTGTGTGCGTTTCTCAGCTTGTAGTCAAGGGTACTGTGTTTGCTCGTTTTCGTCCGGAACAAAAAGCTCAACTGATTGAATCACTTCAATCAGTTGGTTATTTTGTTTCAATGTGTGGTGATGGCGCTAACGATTGTGGTGCATTGAAAGTAGCACATGCTGGAATTGCATTAAGCGAAGCTGAAGCCAGTGTTGCTAGTCCTTTCACATCGAAGCAACAAAATATTAGTTGTGTGCCTACACTTATTCGTGAAGGTCGTTGCGCGTTGACTACTAGTTTTGGTGCATTTAAATTTATGGTCGGTTATTCAATGATTCAATTTTTCTCTGTTATACTTTTATATTATGTAAGTTTGGTTTTGGTATTCCTTTTTACGTTCTACTGTTTAAACGCATAAAACGAAGAATATTCCTTTTTTTAATGAATGTTAGTCTGGTTCAACCATTGTTATTGGTATATAATATATATTACTGTTTTCTAATCCGCTTATGTGATTCCACGTCAAATACTTTTGTGTAGTAATTGAAATTACTTTCTAGTCAAGCGTGTTTCTTCGTGGTAGAAATAGTAGAATTTTTATGGCATTAGTCCGAGTGAATTGGACAATTAAACAATGGAAGGAGTGGATACATAAAAGTTGCAAAACAAAATGTGTTTTTTCCTGGTAAAATCACATTATTAAGAGAAGTAAATAATAGGAAGAGCTCTATTATGTATTCCAGTTTCCTGCATTGATTATAATATGGAAGTATTTAAACTGAAACTCTACACACTTGATCTATGTTTAAAATCTCTATTTATTTATTTATTTCCATAACCACATTTGAGCATTATTTTCGTAGTTATAAATGAGCCAACAGATGATTGTTCATTTTCATTGATTATCTGCTTTGCTTCGATCATTACGTCAACATCACCACACTGTTTTGGCCGGAATGAAGTTTAGTTAGTAAATATGTGACTATACTGGGTAAATCGTTGATTGCTTACTAGGTGAATTCAGGTTGCCAGTTGTATATTGATTTGTTTTACACGTATTATATTGATTGGTATGTGAGTGACCTGCTGAAGTTATTCCTTCCAGTCGTATACGACTTGTAATTATGTTTTAAGTAGGAGCAATTTCATGACTTAGTGAATTAGTTCTATTTGTTATTTACTGGTATTTGGTTTTCAGACATCATGTTGTTAGATTAATTAGTGCCAAGTAGAACTTCGGCAGTTCTTATATCATAAATCCTTATCTACTGTTCTCGTGTTTTTACTTGTGTTGTGCGATTCACGGTTTCCTTGTAGTCGATATCGGTCTATCTCCAAAGATCATTTGTATGCAAAAGACTCAATCTATTTTGTGTATATTTATAGTGGTAATCGCACTAAACAGTTAGCCATGGGAGGGGTTCACGTGCATTTTGAATTCTTAATTAAATTGTATGTCAAGATTTCTGATCTGAGAGTTAAGATTATTTTTTGGTTGAAAATTATGAGCGTCTACGGAAAGTATTTTAAGTTCATTGTACACTTCATATCACATATATTGCAACGGAAAATTCAATGATGTATCTGAAACGTTTATCTTGCTGTGTTGGTCAATCGCTCTAAAGGCCAGTTTCTGTAATGTTTGTGTAAGAGATGGTGATGCTACCAGGGTTCTTAATTTAACGTGATTGAGTAGGATTCGAGCGAGCTATTAGTTGCTTGTAAGCCAAATTCTCTAACCGATAAAGTGCTGTCTACACATCACTGGAATTCAAAAAAGTGTGAGTGCTGGTGTACGATCAATTGTTCTTATCTGGGAGTTGAATCAACGGTTGTTTTGAATACAATCGTAGTAGTAATAATAGCATTGATAGTGCTTACTGGGGAGAGTTCTCAACCACCAGTCAGATTCATTCGTTTTGTTATCCATTGATTGCTTCGTGAACACATTTCGAATCCGTTTGACGAATTCAAATAGATTGACGCTGATGGCAAACATCAGGAAGACTTGGGTTTCATTGCTGTATGATTATACACTTCCCTTCCAACTCAGTGTTTGACTGGTATATACCATGATTAATGTGTTGAATGAATTCATCAACCATGTGCCTGAATTATACCTGAATATACCTTGTATTGCACTATTATTATTATCATCCGCTTTATTCAATATTATATTTTTGGTACAATATAGAATTCTCAGCGCAAAGAATTTCAACAAGTTTCCGTTTCTTTCTTCTTGGTCGGTCCTGGCGATAAATATTGAGTGATCGCCAGTTAGATGTTAGCAGTTCAATAAATGAACATCTGAATAATGTACATTCTTTTCGTTGTGTATTGCCAGCAACCACATTGTCTCTTATTGAGTTTTTTGTAACTTTGACAACGAAAGGTTGTACACTTTTCAGAAACACAGCAGAATAGGTTATGCGATTAATAAACATAATGATAAATTAAAACAAACAAAAATAGATAACTTGTTAAAATATCTAGATGACGGGAACAGGTAGCCCAGATGCTCAAGCAGGCCTCCCTTTATTTGCATATTTATACTCATTTCAGATTGTAAATCAAGACAAATAATTTAAGTAGGTATTAATAGTGTTCAGTAGAATATTCACTCCTTTAGACGAATTATAATTGTAGACGTATTGTTTCATAAATCGAAAAATAATGTAATTTGTAGACGAAGCAAAATAATAAATTCCGACTACAAATTAAGCACTTGTTTTCTTTGATCATTTTGTTGTGGTTGGTAGTTGTAGTGGTACTTTTCTTACATTTTTTTTGTTTTTTCCATCTTTCTCACTAGATTGGCAGTAATATTTCTGACCTGCAATATACGTTTATCGACTTTTTTCTCATTACCACTTTGGGTCTCACGTGTAAGTTGAGAAAGTATTTATTTATACACTGAATAGTGTACGTCGGTATTCATTCTGTCTGGGTTGATAGATAACTTTAATTCAGATGTCGGAAGTTTCTTTAATGAATTTGTTTGTTTTTCTTCACTACCTCTCTTATTGGTTTTTTGTTTGTTTGTTCAACCGTCGGAGAAAACTGAAAACATTTAGTAGGTTACTTACTGTTATCATTTTTTAAAAACTGTGATTGTTCGCTTTCTTTTTGTTTGTGTTTGGATACCATGGTGGATTTCAAAGTTCAGTTTAAACAATTTGTCGATATGTTTCTATGTTTTTTTACTATGTTACATGAATGTGGGGACGTGTATAATATCAACCGTATTCTTCAATAAGTCGGTAACACTTGTACAAGAAACGTTGAAAACCTAGGAACACTGGATATTCGTTTCATTCTAGTATGGGACTCCTTAACAGTGCTCATTCATGATTCTGCAACTGATAATCGAACTCCGGACGTTCGATCACGAGAGTGATATCGCGAAACATTCAATGATCTTCTCAACCCTATACCGATAAAAAATTTCAACTAAATATTCTCCTAACCTGTTATGTTGGATGTTTAGATGTAGACAACAGGGAACCTGGGAACTCACTTTTGTCTACATACAATCCTTGTTGTCATTATGCTGACAACATTCACTTTATTGATTTTTAGGTGGATAATTTATTCTGATCTACAATTAGATATTTCACATAAAGCCTCACGAATAGATGACCTTACTCGAACTATCGTACCTTATGTGAATAAGCAGATTGATTTATTTTTCCTTAATTTCACCTTAGTTTCTCTCTATCGATTCGGAAATCATTGAGATTTCACGACTAACACTAGATTTCTCCAACAGAATTTCCCTCTTATCGAAAATAATCCCTGCAATGTATTCATGTTCTCAATAGCAGACATTATTTACTTATTGCGGTTGGGTTCATTTTATTTTTGAAATACAAGCTACATTAATATCTTTCATCGATACGTCACTAAATTCAATTGGATTTGAACGTGATCCTAAAATTGTATATGATTGTTAGTGTTCAGGTTGAACAACTACTCTGTTGTGATAGATCTCCTTGGAGTTCGTGTGGTAAATACAAATGTAATCACTTTCAACGGCATAATTTCTCTATACTGCAATACTGTTGAATGCTGTTCATGTTGGATTGTCGATTGTCCCGAGAAGTCGACTAAACACGTACGGCAGATATATTTTTACATGACTACCAGGTAACAGTAGCACGAATAAGACTGAAAGAGACCCGTGTCAAGTCAAGACATAGTTGCAAAACGAGAAAATCACTTATGTGACCTGATTGGTGTAGAACGTTTGTTTGCATGCAGAACGTCACGTTTCATGAAGCAGTTTTTTTCATGCAAGTGGTCTAGCCTAGATTATTTAAATGATACAATGGTCATTCTCCGTAATTTCACGAATATTGTTTATTGGTTATTTTTTCTCTAAAAAGATGTATTGGTTTTTTTTCATTAGTTGGTTATACTCCGGCGTATCCTCGTCTCTCGGTGGAACCTCCTGCGATGCGACTAGTGTCAACTGTGACCTTGTTATCATTGGGTTTGCAGTTACTCACTTGTGGTCTTGTACAATTTTCAGTCTTTGTGTTTACTCGACTACAACCATGGTTAGTGAATATGTTTCTAATGTTGTGATGTTTATCTGTAGCATCCGTTTGTATTGGTTGTTGCGTTGATATCTGTTTTAAGCACCTGTTAGTGCATTAACTTGATAATTGTAATCAAATCGATGTATTATATTGTTTCAAAAATTACTTAAGGAACATATAGACTGCTATTGTTTACTTATAATATCTTGTTAGCGATGATCCGCTAGGTAGTGTTAATGTGTGGACAGACTTCTATGGGTTGATTGAGCGGTCCTGTCATTGTAAAGCACGTTATCCCTCCATGCAACTCCTTTGATTAATATCATCATAATCCTTTATTTCATTGAAGGTATTTACCACTGTTTACTTATCATGAAGATTATGAATTAAAAAATTATGAAAGTACGGCCATATTCTCCGTATCTGTCTATCAATATATCATATTGGCTATTGTATTCTCTAAATCTGCACCATATCGTCGATCAATTCTTTCTAATCGTAAGTTGTTTCTTTCTAATTATTGTCTTATATTGTCCAAATTATTATTATTATTTGTTTGACCTCTCATGATTGGATTGGTATTTTAACAATGAATTCGTTTTCTGACGACTGCCACCAGCTAATACGAAACCTAGGTTTGGTGTTTCCGGTTGATTGTTTGTAATACCAGAAGACAGTTTATGCAATGACAATTCATTTAGACTAGATGCAAGTTTCCAACTTAGTCGATGTTAATCATTACACTGTTAATAGGAGTTCAGTTGTTTACGACAATCTTCTTGAGGATCATAAGAAAAAAATTAAGAGATGATAATTGACTAAGACTATTGTATTTTCGTATAGATGATATGTTCATTTTGTTGTGATCTGATGTGTCAATCAGGACAGTCGTACTGGAATTGAAATGTGTGAAACTTTTGAATTGTAACTGTCTTGACTCACTAGCTCAGTGCATATCGGATTGAGCGTTTGAAGCGTAGGCATTGTGTTCGGGTCACAATGTGAAGATCAACACTGGGATGCAGGTATATCCAGTTGATGAGTGCCATGGAGGACGGAATGCGTGCTCTAAATTCCACTGTCAGCCACAATCCTCCTATTGTTTACAACCTTCATAATTTCTCCTTGTCTTTACTATTGATCAAGACAGACAACAGTATGGATTTCTCTTTTAATCACAATCATAATATGTGTATTGTTGCATGTAATACATGGTTATATTATGCATAAGCTTCAAGAAGATGTTGATAATTTTAAGCAGATATTTTTTTCACTGTGGTTGTAACTAATACGCGATTGCCATTTTCTCTATGACTTTCCAATTCCATAGATTTATTGGTTGTCAACCTTATTGCATGTATTGCTGGATCCTTATACTTAACATCTCATCCAGCCCGTGTGGTTCGCAAATTATTCGAAGTAAGATTTCGGTGAAGGACGAAACACTGTGTCATAGTTATTCTTATTAATTGCAGATTAATTATATTGATTTTCGTTGATTAACAATATACTGGCCATTCTACTCTTTAAACTATATGCATTCGCCGCGAGACCTGAAGTAAGGGTCGTGTGTTAAATCCCTGGAGTGCTTGTGTGTACGCACTTTTGAGATGTCCACTACGTGGCCAAAACAGCTGTCTGGTGCCTCCTGGTTTTTTAATGATACTCCAATCAAAATCGATCTAAGACGAATGCAATCTATGAAAGAAGTGATTTTCTGCTTTATTGTTTTCATATATTTTTAGGTTACCTCAGTTTTATTTTGTTATCCTTTTGTTTATTGATATAAAGCTTAATTTCATCCTAACAATTCTTAACCACAATTATTCCGTTTTCCCAATGAATGAATGATTGTCTGTTTGAAATAGCTGGCAAACATTCTTCTGATTGTTTAATTCGAACGAAAGTATGTATTTCTAACTGATGTATAGGGCTCGAATTCCATTGGCATCATCATTAATGGTGTTATATTGTGGATGATGCTAACTAGCATTTTCCATCACTGACTTCTTAGTATTTGTTGTGCAAATGGTTTAGGTGTGATTACTAGACAGGAGAATCTTCTGAAAAACATTCCATAAAAGAGTTGGACAGTTTTCTGGATAATGATTTACATTTCTGACAGACTCTTTAGATTGTATGTAATGTTATTGGTTTTTATATTTTATTTCCAGCTGTGTCGTTTCCCTTCAGTTTATTTTGTAATAATTCTTCATGGAATAGTATTGGGGAATTTACTATTTGGATATATTTTGGAATCGATCGTTGATGGCGTTTCATTTCGACAACGAATACGTCATATTCAACATGCTTTATTTCCCAAGTATGTCTGTCTTGAATGCCTTCCATTTTGTTCAGTACTGGTTGATTTCTTCCATACATTTAATGAAATGCAGATTATTTTATCGGTAATTAGTAGTATGATATTTATTAAGTCAACAATACGACTTGAAGCAATTGGTCCCGTTTATCAATTTCAGTAGAACGCTAAGAAGTCAGAGTTCGAAATAATATAATGCAAATGCATCACATTGTTCAGATCAACTTCGGGCTCTCATTGTTCTATCAAAACAATAGGATCATAATGTTGTAGAATCTATTGCAACTTGAAAATCAATCCGTACAACTTAAATATTGTCTATTGTAATGAGAAACGCTTATCATCAATACTTGCATTCCAAGTAAAACGACCCATGAAAATCTCAGGGAATAAATGATTTACTATGTAGAAAAAATCATCATTTTCAATATAGAGTTGTGCAGATTGTTGATTTAGACAACGATTGAAAACGTGAAAGCACTGATTGCCAGATTTATCCCAGAATGAGGCTCTTCAGAAGTGTACATACACGACCCCCTCAGCAGGCAATCGAACCCTCAAGTGCCTGCCCTGTAGGTCAACTTGACGGCAATTGGTCTCACAACCATACAATGTTTTACCTATTATTGCTCGTCTAATTAACCGAATGTTCATATCATTCACTTTTCACACTTCAAAGTCGGTAACAGTTGCCATATAATATACATTTTCAGCAAAATGATATGTTCTGTCGACTAGTTGGATAGTACAAGAATTGTACCGGTTGTTTAATTAGTTAAACCTTTTGAAAATCCTTGTTTGTCATGTGTGTTAAACAAATACTTGGGATTGTTCTTCTCTAATTGTTATCCAATAGACATGTTTCACGTAAAGACTATGAACACATTCGTGATGAAATAGGTAGATTAGCTGGAGTGTGGCCACCAATTATACGATCTGCTAGTGTGCAAACGTTACCAAGTGAGTTGTTCAGTGAAAGTGATGTTGTTGGACAAACTGTACAAACATCAAGAAAACGCTATAATTCAAGACTTTCAACTGACAGAGAATCTGATGAGGATTGTATCCCAGTTACTTCTGAGGAGAAGGCTGTCCTGTGTAATAGTTTACGTGATAATAATATTATTCATCAACAAGTACAATTACATTACAATGCTCAATCTCCATTTCAACCGTCTTGTGTTTTTGATACTATGCCGAAAAGTGCGATCGAAAATTCATTTAACAAGAATCGGACACGTTCTACTGTAAGTTTACCACGTTACATTGCCTATTTTCTTTATATAGTATTCACTGTAATTTTGTGGGGTGGTGGATAAGTGGTTCAGGTGTTAAACTTTCAATCACTATGTTTTATGTCTGAGTCTCGCTCCATATGGGTAAGGTTGAGGAGCCGGGTGATGTCATTAGTCTCCACACAGAATGTGACTCAAAACTAAATACACGGATATTCTTCATTTTGGTGTACACGAGGAGACCGTCAACATCACTCGGAATTCATACGACGGACTACACTGCAATGTTGTGCATGGAGGACAGCTGACAGACGCATTTCAAGTGAGGACCGGAGTCAGATGGGACTGGTTACTTTCACTCTTCTTCGGGAGGCCGACCGGATTATGAAGACCTACATATCTCAGGTTAAGCATGGAATACGATGGACAGCTTGTGTACATTTAGACGATTTGGACTTCGCAGATGACCTAGCCCTTCTATCACATACACAGTGACAAATGCAGGTGAAAACAGTCAGTATAGCAGCAGTCTCTGCTTCAGTAGGCCTCAACATACACAAGGGAAGAAGCAAGATCCTGAAATACAACACAGAGTGCACCAACCAAATCACATTTGATGGAAAAGCTCTTTAACAGGTGGAAATGTTTACGTACCTGGCCAGCATGATTGATAAGCAAGGAAGATCTAATGCAGATGTGAGGGGAATGATTGGCAAAGTAAGGGTAGCATTTCTAGAGCTGAAAAACATCTGGAACTCAAAGCAACTGTCAACCAATATCAAAGCCAGAATCTTCATTACGAACATTAAGACAGTTATATTGTATGGAGCTGAAACGTGCAGAACTACCACAACCATAGTAAAAAAAATATACAAGTATTTATAAACAATTGTCCACATAAGATACTCAATGTCCGTTGACCGGATACTATCGGCAACAGCCTACTGTATCAGAAAACAAACCAACTTCCATTTGAGGAGGAAATTAGGAAAAGACTCTGGGAGTGGATAGGACACATATTGAAGAAACTACCAAAGTGCATTACGAGGCAAGCACTAACTTGGAATCCTGAAGGGAAAAGGAAAAAAGGTAGGTCAAGGAGCGCGTTGCGTCAGGAATTAATGCCAGACTGAACAGAACGTGGAAACAATTGGAATTGAGGGCTGAAGGTAGAGTTGGTTGGAAAATCGTAGTTGGCGGTGCGTATTCGTATGAAAGGTAAGTAAGACTATCAAACTCACAAGTCTATCACTACAAAATTATCGGAAAACTAAATGTGTACGGTGGTCTTAATCTACCTAAGCAAAATGTTTTCTCAATAGAAACAACTTTGATTGGGTTCTTTATCAGTCCTCCTAGAAAGGCTTCAAATTGTCTATTTTCCCCTTGTAAGTAATCCCGCTGATCATGTATATTTTCGGGATGTCTACTTGTAAATTCAATGAAGTGTGTGACATATGCATTTGTGCGGCATGGCCATGTAATGTACTTTTGTTCTAAGATAAAATATAGTTTTGTGATTTGCTTTTAATTGTCTCATTTTAGAGCACCCATAATCGCCATTCATTTAACACTACGAGAAGCCTTGGAAGCAAAGGTATCAAACGCAATACTTCTAAGGAAAACAGTTCTACACAACAAATGCCTGCAGCACATCAAAAACTGGAGGTCGGAGCTCTTACTCCGACTCGACGAGCTAAACATATTCGATCACAGAGTGGGCCAAAACCACTTAGTTCAAATACCGCCGACGTTCAGTCGGACCCATTCCAATAAGCTACCTACCACTGATAGGATAAGTTTGTCGGGAGATCACACGTTGTTAGTCTTTCGATGTATAATATTTACTGTTATCATCAGCAGACGATTTCAAATCAATAACTGTATTTTCTCCTAAATCGCTGTGCACAATATGAATTGCTTTTTTCTCCTGTCCCTAATTCGGATGGTTCATTTTCTTTTAACTCTTACGTTAACCTGTGAAAATCTTCCTGTCAGATCACGCTTTGTCTCTCTCTGTTATATTAGCAAGAATAGTAACCAGAAACATATGTAATTCATCCATCTCAATTTTCATTCTTATTCATTATCGTTTTACTGAATAGAGCAGAACTATCAGTTTTAGACAGAAAACAAAAGATCTTTCATTGTCGATAATCTTCTCGTTTACGAATGTTGTTTTCATTTTTTTTTCACGACACTTGCGGTCTATCAGTAATCCCATTACTATATTATCCGCTCACTCTAGAGAAAACCAACTGTCTAATTGAGTAGACCGTACTATCGCGTATTTTGTGATTTATGACTCGAATAGGTAAGAAATATCTCAATTCTGTTTAACTCATGATTCCTATGAATTACCATTTTGTGTATTTCGTAAGCATCAAGTGAACTAAAAGTGGAACAGACTGACTGACGAGAGGGTTCAAGGAATTCATAGTTTTCCCCCCTTACTATGTGATCTTGCAAATTATCTAATGTGTTTTATGCCATTTTATTTTTTATTTCCATGTGTATGTTATGTTCAGTTGTTAAAGATTTTTTCTTTCGTTTTTCTCTGTCTATAAAATCGAAGTGATATTTTTCTTTGAGCACGAATGTGATGATACATTGTTCATAATCATAAACAATATTTAATTTGATTGTTTTACTATAATTAGTAGTGCTATTATTTTTCTACGTGATGAGTTGTAGGATTCAGTAGTGTTTCTGCATCGGTCCAAGTTGCCACACCTCATTAGCACTTGTTAAGACATTGTACGAAAAAAATCAAAGCGACTAATTGTTTCCATTAATAAATGAACAGAAACAGTATTCAGTAAGGGATACAGTTCAGTTGAAAATTGACAAAGCGACCAAAGATTAAGCCTGTCAGTCAGGGTTGCACATCTCAAACCACTGCATTGCACAATCTCTAGAGCTCTAAGTGGAGAGTAATGATGAGACGACTGATCCTTGTCTCATTCGGCCATTACTTCTTCGTCTACAACCTCACAACTTCGTTTTTCTTAAGTACAAATGAACAAGAAACAACAGTCACCCAGGATAGAATCTTCGATACCGTCATTGCTCAGTAGGGTTGAAAAATGCATCTTTTTTCTCGTACTATGGTCCAACATTTCATATTGCAATAGTAGCCGTCTTTATTCCCAAAAATCTGGTGAAATGCTTGTGTATAGCAGGGTATGAGCAAACTCATGTTAATGGATACGGAGGATCCATTTGGGGAACCCTGATTCCAAACCTGTGGTGCATATAGACTCAAGGATCCCTGGACGGAAACGCGTATGAAACTGTTGTTGATCACCGGCGACCGTGGGACTGCATGTATTAACGTTTCCCCACTGCTTTGTGGATTAGACCTCTAGGTCAATGGCTGGGGAAGTTACCTCCTGAGAGAACCACCTGCTTCGGTTTAAACAATATTCCAGCCCTTACACAAGTCGAATGACGAAGTGCGGCACATAAACATTTGGTGCCTCCCTGTACCAATGTTCATGTGTTTGCTTAAATAAATAAAAATCATTTCTTATGGGTTTCCGACCTGCAGAATATTAAATGAAAATCATATCTGAACACACTATGAAAAAGTTATGATAAAGATATCTTAGAAAATATAATTCATTGAGAATCGCATCTGATAAAATAATGAAAACATACTTTTTGTCGAAAGAATATCACAACGGCTTTTAAGATTGTTCTGAGAAATAGTAGACTGTATATCAAATTACATGATTCGAAAGCACGGTAAAAAAGAACTATCTACATTGATTTGATGATCAGCAAAATAGAAAAGAAAATATGAAAGCACGCAAACGAAGCCAACTAAATATTGAGTTATTCATTGGACTGCTTGAGGTCGACCTATTTCACTTCTTCCTTTCAATTTTGAGCTTTTTTAAATCGTCCAAAACTCTCTCAACCTAGCAAAGAATTGATAGAAAAAGCGTCAAAATAAGTACGATCGCTCACTTACCTTTCGGAAAATATGAAACCGCGGATCAAACATTAGATTAAAGCTCATAAGTTGTTTAGGTCCAAGGATGTGCATGTGTAAATGATGGACACTATTGAATGGTGGCCAATGAAATCCAAACCTACAACTTATTTGATATCAAATGATAATTTACAAGAAATCGTCTGGGTCCAATTTCAATTGACTAATGAGATAATTCTTTCCGCAATTCATCATATCCATAACTGATTTACATGAAGCAAAGCCAGAGTTTACCTAGTGGTATATCTTCATAGGTCAAATATTTAGCGTTCCTTATGTGCTTTTTAGGAACACATTGGAAGTGATACTGAGCTTTCGGTAGGTGATCATGAAATATCACTAAATCATTGGTCTTTCATAAGTGTTCGGAAAAATTATTGATTAACAAGAACAATCAAAACTTACTTCGAAACAGATTGTTTGATTTGTCTTTCCGTAAGCAATGGAGCAAAAAATACAGCCATCTTTTGGTGTTAGCATAGATTTTCCTTTCGTCTATGAAAGTTTCAAGGCGAAATGTTTTTATATCTCAGTATATTTAGTAGAAAAAAAACAGTGTCCTAATAAAATATTGTCCAGAGAATTGTGCATTAACTGACGATTGAATGGAAAGGGTATTACAGGTAACGGACTGATATCCTACTTTCACTAGTTCTCTTTGAGCATTTCAGTAGAATAGGCTATCATACAAAAAGTACGGCTCAAAGACGAACGAATAAACCTATACCTATTGGTGAATAGATAACAGTAAGAAATCATAAAATACTTTCGGTTTGACATTTCTAAACGTGTCAATATGTTTTAAATAAAATGAATAGTCACTATGAGTATTATTTATTTATTTGAACACATAAATATTGGTATAAAGGGGCACCAAATATATATGCGCCACACAAAACCATGGGAATTTGAAGAGGAGAAGGAAAAAGGTGAGGAGTGTCAAAAAAGAGCAATAACGAACAAAATAAGGTAAGGTAGCGTAGTAATAATGGGGGAAACGAAAAGGCACAATCAGAAGAAATCACTTTTTATGAAGAAAATAAAAGAAGGTTACAGCAGGATCGCCACTGGCTTCTATTCTGAGCCATATCTGATAAGGTCTCTAGCCACTGTGTAGCACCATCTCTCGGACCCCAGCCAGGGAGTCGTGAGGGATCAACACAAGCCAGCCCTTTGCAGATTTCTTTCATTCCACGACACCATGTTATGCACTGACCACCTCTCCGCCTCTTCCAACCAGTTCCAGAGTCGGCAAATAATGCACGACGTGGAATTCTCTGGGACGACATTCGTAGAACATGTCCAAGCCACCGAAGTCGGTGGTGACACTAAGATGGTGACACTAATTGCATTATCATCTCTGTACCCGAACACACGATGCCGAACCTCTGCATTACTAACATGGTGTTGCCACTGGATGTCAGCGATCCTTCGGAGGCAACGATGATCAAACACAGAGAGTCGTCTAACATCCTCAACTCGGAGAGGAACATTTTGATCCGGAGTGGTTCTGTAGGATGTTAAAAATTTTTTGATTACCTGTTCAGATGTCCCTCCGCCTCCCCCTGTCAGTATTACTCGTTTAAAGGTGTCCACAAATCATTCTGCTTGTCCGTTCGATTGCGGATGATAATTTGTAGGACGAAGATGACTTATTCCATTTGCGCTACAGAAATACTTAAACTATTCGCTGATGAATCCACTGAGTTCGCTGTTACTGCCTTCAATGATTCACTTTCAGTTGTATGTGATTTCAATTCATTTGACTATAGCTTCCTTACGTCACTAGATCACCAAAACGTAGTAGATTTTCCTACTCGTTTGGATGCTCATTTAGACTTCGTTTTCATTAATTATGTGGGTATATATGCGACTCGTAAACGTGTTTCATTGTCTAGCTCGGACCACTGTATAATTCGTGTTCTACCTACAGTATATGGAAAGCATGGGAAGAGTACGCTCTTACATCAAACCAAGAAAGTCAAATATAGGAATTACTCAGAAGAAAATATCCGAAATCTGAAAAAAACGTGTTTCATACGACTAACTGGGAATTATTTACAGATGACTCACTGGAAAACACTACTGATGTTATCACTTGTTACCTTAAATTCTGTTCTGATATTTGTTGTCCCACTGAAACCATTTTTGTAAGTTTTGATCAACTTACATCTACACAACTAAAACGGCTACGGGGGATGAAAGAGAGAATGTACAAGGAGAAGAACTCTAATAAAGTTCGTAAGCTAAATGGTCTGATAAACCTAGAGATTAGACGCCTCAACTCTATGTTTACTCAAATACTCTCCAAGTATGTGGAAACTCTTTAAAGAAATTACAGGTGACAGACAGTTTAGGAGCGATAACCAGATGAATGTTTGTGACTTTGTAGTGACTCACCTTTATCACGAGAACACGACTGGTTTAATAAAAACAATTATTATTGTAACCAATTGTACCAGTGACTGTTTTAATGTGCTTTTGTTTAACTGTGCTCAAGAGCATCCATTATTCACACACTTTGATTGTGACTTCGCGCGAATTTGGTCACGTTCTGTAACCAAGCTTGTATCCTGGCACGAACTCGGTGTCCTTTCGATACCACGAGATCGCCAGCAAATATATCTCGACTTGGTCCATTAACTGCCTTCTGATATTTGACTTCTCGGGGATTTTATGGATTTCATTGGTTACGTTCAACCTTCGCCTTCTGATTCATTTGGAACGCGATCTTCTGTAGCGGTGTTCATAGGTAATATCGACCAGACGCCACACTACAACTTAAATAAGTCTTTTGTACGTCAGCCATCTGATGTGATGCTCCCTTTATCCACGGGTTTAAAGAATAGCTGTGTTCCTAGTTCCACTGAGACTAATGTACGAAGATGTCTCCAGTCACTTAATTCATCCCGATGTTTGGGACCTGATGGTATCCCAAACATCCTTTTTAAAAAGTGTGCTCAAGTCCTATGTTATCAATTCACAACTACCTTTAACAGATCAGTTTGCTTACAGACGCAGAGAAGCACTTTAGATGCTGTTGCTGTTCTGCATCACAATATAGTGTTCAACTTAGAAAAGGGTCAGAAGTATGTTCGATGTGCTTTTCTGGACTATACTTCAGCTTTTGATTCTATACCAAGACAACGTTTACTTAACAAGTTAATCAGCGTCAACACTGACAGCTGGATAACCAACTGGCTATGTTCCTACCTGTCTAGAAGGGAACAGTACACTGTATTTGGAGGAAAGTGTTCAGAGTCTCTACTGTCTCATGAAGGTGTACCACAAGGAGTTGTTCTTTCACCTCTTCTCTTCTCTTTTTTTCTGCATGATCTCCCATCTTCCACAGAAAACACTCTTGTGAAATATACGGATAATGTCACTGTATGTATGCCTGTATCTTCCTCTTTACATTCCATAGAAATGAATGAGTTTTGTTTCGTATTGATTGTTGGTCTGTTGGTAATGGTCTCATACTTAATCCGTCTAAATGTCAAGCTGTTAACTTTAGCATGAGACATGAACGGAATCTAAACACCATTTTGAGATCCCATAATGCTTGTACCATTGGAGACTCTTTGATAAACACAGTGTCGAAGGTCAATTATCTTGGTGTCACCTTTTCCTCTGATCTGTCTTGGTCTTCCCACGTTTTA